TGTTAAATAGCATGCTACTTGGCAGGACTAAATTTTTTAGTTAAAATTCCTTCACTTTGTAGAAACAAAATATTTAATTACAGTTTGAAATTTGAAATCTTAGTATGTAGCCAAGTCCATGACTTATAAAAAAACACTATGGCATAACTTTTTAATCAATGGAAATAAGAGTAAAAAAAGGTAAAATTAACTTTTTTCTAATGAGTCTGATGGTATAGTAAAGAAATTAATTATTGTTAAATTGACATTAAATTTATCATATATTTAAGTTTTGAACCTAAATCACTTGAGTGTTAAGATACTGCTTAACATGCTATTTGGTTAATAATTAGATTTATAGCGTGCTTTTATGTTGTATTCTGTTTTGAAACAACACTTAAGCACACTATTTGTTAGTGGTAGATAGTTCTTCAAACTAACAAGCCTGAGATGTTTTTATTAGTGTAGTGACTACCTTTTAAGGAGTATGAGAACAGACAGTGCCCATGTATTTTACCCATGGGTCAGTATAGCCTAGGGGCTACAAGTGGAACCCTCAGAAGTTAACACCTCTCGTAGGGGCTTGCTTAGTAGAAGTCAGTAATATAGTAAAATACTGAAGGAGTAACGAGAGTCTGAATAAGTTTAAAATGACAATTTAATTCTGGTAACAGTTTCCTTGATACTGATGGCTGCTGATAGAGGAAATGTAACCCCTGACAGTAATCTCATTGAGGTTATGTTGCTAAACTTAATCTTACTTTTGTGTATTTGTTTTCCAAGGTGGACTTAAGTTACTGTATTTCTTTTCCATTTTTATTATTGTACAGTTTCTTCATCTTTCAAGTATAAATGTATATATAAAATGTAAATACAAGGAATTCACTAAAACCACTATTAACAATTACTGTGTAAAATAAAACTTATAAGCAGAGTAACTACTTGAAATGAGTCTTTATTCAGGGATAGCTGGTTCATTTAATTACATTTGGAGAAAAAAGTAATTTTTTTTTTTGCCAAATTTCTTTTACTACTAGGTCTACAGTTTAAGACATAGTATTGACAGCTAAATTATGTACTGTATCTTCCCTTGAACCTTATATGCAGGTAGTATTATGGATTTATTCATTATCAGTATATGACTGTTTTTCAGTTAAAGTATATTTTGAATTAAAAAGAATTTTTCCCAAAATCTGCAAGTGTGAACTTTAATAATACAGTGTTTCACTTATATTCACTCAATATATACTTCTCATTTTAATCTTCCTTCAGCCCAGGTCTGTTAGAAAATACTAGAAAACTAGAAAACTCCAGTAACTAGCTTATCTTCCTGAAGCAAGCTTTGCTGATACCTTCTGCACTGATGATCTTCATATAAGATTATTGAGTATATTAGTTTGACTCTATAGAAATTAGTGTTGGGCCTCCCTGGTGTCATAGGTTGTACATGGTGCATGTGAGCTCAGTGCTTTCATGCAGTCACCACTGCAGCCTGAGTTTGATCTTGGTCAGGGAGCTAACTGCAAGGGTGCAGCAGACCACCTCTTCTGCTATTTACTCCCCTCAGCAGTGTATTTCATAGATCTCCCTGTTTTGCTCCTCACTCTCTGGTGAATCCTCACTCCTGAATTGCTGATCTGTATGTCCAAGTTGTCCTATGCATAAATAAATAACATTTTAAACAGAAAGAAATTAGGTAGTGTTTGCTTTTTTTTTTTTTTTTAAGGTTTATTTTTTATTCATACAGAACTGGGGTACAGGCCAGAGGTGCAGGGGCAGTGAGAGGCTTCTCCAGAACAGAACAGGCAATTGATGACTGCTGAGGGGAGCAGTGGGCCGGTCAGGAGAGGTCATGCCAGGCGGTCACCTCTGGGGCTGGGGATGGAACTCACACCAAAGCAGCTGCCACCAGCTTACAGTGCTTCGTCCTAACCCATTGCACCACCAGGGAGGGCCAGGAAGTGTTTTCTTAAGTCTTTGACTTCAGGAAAACAGGCTTTCTCTGTAGCTTTTTAGGAACTAGTTTTATTTTTACCTAGAACACTCAACTCTTAACGCTCAGCTTGTTAGAGGGTTTAATGCTAAAGCATCTAATCATGAAATAATTTTCATAATGCTACATGGTTTATGTCCTATTTTGTTTGGACAAGGTAGTTTCTTTGTATTACATGTACATATTCAGGCAGCAGAAATTGGTATAAAACAATAAAAATCAAGCATTGAAAATCAGATTTTAATTTACTCTCGTGGATATACAGTGTCTGATAAAAATAAATCTTACCTCTGGGGGAAAAAGTGATTTTTAGACTATTTTGCTATTCTCAAAGCATAAATAAATTCCAAAGCCAAAATATAAATTCCAAAGCCAAAATATAAATTCCAAAGCTGGTAAAACTTCATTAATTAGAATGTCATTGCTTTAGAACATGTAAAAACAAATAGAGGTCTTTTAAAAATTTCAGGAAAACTTAAGAGAGAAGAAAACCTTACTTCATAAGAATATTCTTTGCTTACTGTTAGTTGCAAAAGAAGCCAGATACTGGGTACTGTCTCAATGTTTTAATAGCATGAAGTTAAAAGGTTTGTGAAGTTAGCAAAATTGTGTTTCTTTCCAAACATTATACAATTCATATTAAACTTCCTTCGGTTTCAAATGGTTCCAACTAATGAGATTTTACTATGTACACTATATTCGATGGACTGAGTTTATTTTCTAGTAAACACCAGGAAGGAACTTGGCTTTTAAAAAGTTGCATTGCAAATGTGTTTCATTTCTTCAACATTGACATAAAGTGTTTTTATAATTTTGTTTATGAATTTTGATTTTGCAGCAATGCATTATTTTTGGAAAGTAATTTTTGTAATAAAAATGTAAATGATTAATACAGATTTGAAGGAATATAAGAAATTGACAACAGACTTTTCTTTTTTTAGTACCCACCTCTCTTCTCCCCACAACTCAAACCAACTACAACAAACTCTTTACTCTGTTCTCAAGGCCCTATCTGTTCTGGACACTGCCTATCTTTACAATTTTAGCCTCTTAACTTTACTCTGCTACTCAGTTCCTGGAATGTAAGTTCCATATGAGGGTGTTAAATATACTGATACTGTAATGATCCTAACTGATCAAGAAATGATTATAAATGAAGCGGAGTGAGTTGAAATCAAAGTGACCAATTGTTGATGAGGACGTCGATAAACACACATGAGGCAAGGGCAGATAAAACAATGATACTAATATAGGAGCTAAATTAAGCCAATCTGAATCACTTTTGATACATGTCTATGTGTCTGAAACCTCCAGATTTTGACAATACCTATTGGAGGCTCTGCCCAGAAAAGCACTACTTCCCTCAGCTAGCTAAGCCAAGGGACATTCCAACCCCTAACACTGCAACTCTCTTGCATTGATTCTGACTATTGTTAATTGAATTTTATATGTTGTGGTATTGTCATGTGTTTTTTTCCCCTTAAAAGTGATCTTTTAAGTATGTATCATTTATTTGAGTCACATGTGAAACCTCTCCAACTAGGTGAAGTTAGGCATTCAAACCACACACTGCACAGGGATCTTGTCTGGTCCATTACTGTAGAAGTTTCTGGTTACTCAGGTGACACCTAAAGGCTTAAATAAAAATAAATCTTTCAGACACTGGGAAGGCTCTGCCATAGGGGCAAGTATATGTCAAGAACTGCACCAGTATACTTGTATTAAGTGTGGCACCAGCTGTTAGAGGTGATGTCTGTCCTCTGAGAAACAGATGAAATTACCTTGAATTCCATCTTACGTGTGTTTGGACAAATGAGACACTGGGGAATGAGAAGAGAAGCTGTCAACTTCGAATTAATCTTTCAATTCTGAACAGCAGTTGCTGCAAATGCAGTGTTTTAAAGTGAGAGGGAAAAGATTTTGGAGGTTAGTTTGGTGAAGGTCAAAAATCATAGAGTGATAACAGCTGTTATCCTTCATTAGGAGACATGATTTAAGAATAATAAGACTACATCTGTCTTAATACCAGGCCAGATGTCCCTCAAGTCTTGCTCTCCATCTTGCTTCCTTTTTCTTCAGTCATCTCTACAGATTCTTCTCCCTGCTCATCTACACCCTCCTTTGGGTGGGACAGAGAACCTGGAACGTCCCCTTTTCCACCACCCCGTTACAAAAATACCTAGATTTGACTCCTGTTTTATTACAAAGCAACTATAGACTTCTGGGCAAGTTGATTTATCTTAGTCTGTTTCATCACTTAAAAATAATCTGCCCCGCTAATCTGAGGTCTATTAGAAGTTTTCTGGACAATTACAATGGAAGTCCACTGTAAACTCTTAAATTTTCTGCAAATACAATTTTTGACGTGTTGGGGGTCAAAACAGAAAAGTTCTCCTTCAGGTGTCCGGTCTTAATTATTGTTCAGAATTCCTGTGTTTTCCCTCTTCACAGGCCATTCGCTTGGTTTGCAATGCATTCAATTCTCTTACCCAGAAACAACTTAAACTTTCAACTTCCCGTTTCTCGCTTTCTACTCACAAAAGAGCCCTCCCCCCGGGTAATTGTGATATTTTCACTTAAAACATGAACTGGACAGTGAGGATGGCCAGCGAGGGTGGCCAGCAAAATTGGGATTTATTTCTTACATACTCACTTACTCGCTCACGCATCATCGGTGGGGTTGGGACTACTTTATCACTCCTGCCAGAAGTACCCTGCAAGTTGCTAAGCGCGTTAAGAAAGTACTGCTTGATCCCGTATAGGAGAGAAGTGGGCCCTCCGGCGTAAGCAGACTCGCCCAGTATCAGAAATAACTAGAAGCTGAGTCCGGAAGCTGACCCCAGTTTCCCCAAAACTCAGCCCCTGAGGGCGCTCACGTTGCCTAAACACCAGTCTGACCAAAACCAAACAGCACCAAAATCGCGCCGGCGGGGCCTGGGGGCGGGGCTTAGAGCCCGGAGTATCGCGAGGCGATGACGTTTTCCCGCGAAGGAGAAGCGCGCGTTTTTCCCTGGCCGGGGATTTGGTGAGAAGACCTGGAGCCCGATCGTCTGTGAGAATTTAGCGCGCAGCTTTGAAGGCGCTGAGGGGAGGGGACCTGGTTTTAAGAGTGTGTCCAGCCATGCCGGCCGAACGGCCAGCGAGCAGCCGCAGTGAGTGAAGAGAACTTTCCTCCGGGCGCGGGCGGCGGCGTCCTGGGCGGGAAGGGGATGGGGGCGGGTAGCATGGAGGCTGCGGCTGAGGTGGAGGGGAAGTCGACCCCGGCCACAGCCTGAGGAAAGGAGGGATAAGGCGCTGTGGAGAACACCCGGATTCCACATACTTGGCGCATACAGCAGTTTTTACCCAGTCGAGCAGCATTTCCCTGAGCCTCTTGGTTTGTAAACTGGGGTCCCGCGACGTAGTGAAAATCTAGAATGTCTCCTGGGAGGTGTCTTCGGAGTCCCTGCAGCTCTTCAACTTTTGCTTCAAATTCACGGGAAGGGGAGGAAGGTTGCTGACTGTGGTAGTCGCGTAATGAGTGGCTTTTTTTAAAACTGCGACCTCAGAAGTCTACTCTCCTCTAGGGAGCCCAGCTCCAGACACGGATGCACAAGCGGAGACCGCCGTGATCACCGCCGCTATGCTGGAGGAGGAGGAGCAGCTGGAGGCCGCCGGCCTGGAGAGAGAGCGGAAGATGCTGGAAAAGGTAGCCGTGGTGAAAGGCTCGGTGGCCCGGCGCCCGGGAGGTGTGGTTGTGTCGGCGGCCTCGGTCTGCGGGCGGCTGTGTTTACAGATGCTATCTCGGGGCGGCCTCCGCACGTGCATGGAGCTCGCCTCTGAGCGCCCGGGGTTCTGTCAGGTAGCCGCAGCTCTGTTAAAAGGGACCCTTTCAAGGGCCTGCAAGCCGTTGCAGTGTCTGGTTTGTAAGTAGACCTTTTTAGGCAAAGCTATGTTTCTTCAGTGCTCAATGACTTACTGGTGCAGGGCATCTAAAGAGTATTGAGAGCAGCCTTGAACGTGTGGAAAGCTCCATCCTTACGTGTAGTTGACTTGAGTCATCAAGTCCCCTCTGCTGCTTATTTATTGCCTGTGCAGGGACAGCGTTGCCCCACTGGCCATGTCTGCTTGCCACTGGGTTGCTCGCGTTTATTTGCAAGCAGCCCTAACAGCGTGGCGTTGGTGTCGTAGGACAAGCGCGCCGTAACTCGCGTTTCCTTGGCAGTCATGCTTCCTAGAATTTAAAGCAGCGCACTTAATCCTCTCCTGTTCTCCGCTAGCCAAGCGCTCACCGCCCAGTTCTTGTACGGGGCGTGATTCGCTAAAAAAAAACTGGCGATTGTGTGGCCCACTGGTATCTTGTGATGTATCGATATTGAAAAGCAATACTCATTTGTGCACTTAACATTTTATGAGTTATGGGGGGGCTCTGAGAAGCCTCTCCCTGTGAGCATGTCTGTGGAAGCCTAACAGGCTTCACCGAAGTAACAGTTCCTTTCCTTTGGGAGAAGGCCTGTTCTGGGCTTACGTTTGGAAGTGCTCAAGAGGAAGAAGCACTTAAGTCCTTCAATGAAATGCATTTACTTTGCTTTAGGAATTTTTAAGGTTTGTGAAGGCCTCTAGAATGACTTTGACATTCATTTGTATAGGTTATTTTCTTTGGCTTTTCACCTGCATTTTCTTTTGAAAGGAGTCATTGTTAGCCTGGAGGACTTACCGGTGGCATTAACGGGTCTGTGGTGGGGGAGGGTAGAGTTGAGAGACATCTTGCTAGAGGTAAAAGAAATAGTTCATACTGTGGACTGAAATTTGCCTTGCTTCCCTCTCTTTGTGGGGAGAAGGGGGTGGGCTGCAAGGCTGAGAAATTATACCCGAGGTGTTCCCTGCCAGGCACTTAGTACTTTCCAATGGTGGAACTAAAATTTACCTTAATAATATAGCAAAAAATAAAATTTCTAAGTCAAGAAACAATAGATAGGTTTACCACAGATTATTTCGAAAAATAAGAGACTTGAAGATCAACAGTTGACAAATTACTAAATTATAACTTATTATTCCAAGACAGCATCTAAAAATTTTAATTGTGAAAATATGCTAATTTCTTCTAAATATAATTTTACAGGTAAATATAGCAAAATTAAGCCCAGAATATTGTGAATCTTCAATTTTAAAAGTTGGAAGTATAAGAATTCAGTTTTATAAAGCTTTAGTAATTTTCATCTCCTTTTTCATAATCACTATGATATTGTCCAAGCATAAAAGAAAGTCTGTCAAAAGACAACTGAAAATAGAATTTGATAAATTGGTACCTTCATGTATTCCAAGACTACTGGTGATTTTTTTAAAATTCTGTGATGATCATGTATTAATTATATTCATAGCTATCTTGCTGTCTTTTGTTATAATAGAAGTTAACTTTTTATATTAAAAGAGAAGATGATGTCACTTATAAAAACCAGTATACAGTGGAGCTTTGTTTGCAGTGTAAAGTCCAAGTTAAGCTAGATTTCTCAAATTTGTTTCTTTCGTACACATTTTGTCCTAGGAATGAAATTGCTAATAAGTTTTATATGTATTTTACTTCAGTAGATGAATTCATTTCTCACTTGATTAACTCCAGCCCATTTATTGCTTTTGAGTTTAGATTATGTTGGATTAGCAAATAATAAACTGAATTTGACCTGTGTTTGCTTATATGAATAAAATTTTATTTTATTTCAACATATCATTTATGCATAAACTATTTTTATGGGGCTTAGGGGGCCAGAATTGTGTTTCAGTATAGCTTACTTATTTTCTCTTAGGTTTTTTACAGAAAAGTTCGTGGACCCAACTTAACAATACTGTTTATTTATTTTCTATCTTTTGTAATGGTATTCTCTTAAAATACTTAATCTTCCTCAGTGCAAGTTGAAGGTTCCTCTTCAACCTTTATACTATTGTAGACTCTTTGAAATCATTCAGTACATTAATGGTGTGTGAAAGTGATATGGAAAGCAATGATTTATAGTTGGAAAGTATGCAGGGGTGAAAGGTAAAATAAGTATGAAAAAGAAAGTAAGGGCAAAGCTTTGGGGAACACAATAAGAGAAGAAATTCGTTTTTCATTTTAGCATGTGAAACTATTTTCATAATATAGTTTTAAAATTGTAAAATAGATGTTCTACTTTGTCAGTAGAAATATTTTTTAGCTCTTAATGCCCTTTCCAATAAAATTGGTCGCTTAAACACTTAAATTCAAATTGAATTAAAAATGCACTTTTGGACTCTTAATTCAGTAGGTGGCAGTGATGGTATGGCCAGTACTTGTTATTTCCATGATATGAAATTCATGCCATATCTTACTAAATTGCCATTGAACTTATTAATTTTTCAGCTATTTGTTTTAGGTTGTGGTTTGAAAGTATTTTTAGTAAATGAATTTAATATCTTGACTTTTTTCCTATTTTAACATTAAACCAAACAGCACTTATATAGCCATTTTCAGAACACTATGCAAATATAAATGTCAGAAAACTTGTTAGTAGTTATGGAATTTTCTCTTTTCATAGGCTCGCTTGTCTTGGGATAGAGAGTCCGTGGACATTCGATACCGAAGACTTCAACATTTGCTTGAAAAAAGCAATATCTACTCCAAATTTTTATTAACTAAGATGGAACAGCAGCAGTTAGAGGTACAACATGTGATTGACTAACTAGTAGCTAATTTTTTTAAAGTTACTGAGATACAAATTACATGCAATAAACATATACATTAAGTTTACAGATATTTTTAAATTGCATTATTTAGATAATGATTGATATACTAAAAATGCAGCCTTTTAAAAAAATTAACATTTATGGTTTTGACTGTCAACAAAGCAGCCACCACCATCAAATGTAAAAGCTTAAGCCATCAACCCTAAAAGGTTATCCTTTTTAAATTCTCGTTCCTATTTTCTGTTTCATCTGCATTTTCTGTGGGGGGTATTTTGTTTTTTGTTTTAACTTATTTATTTATGCATATAAGAACTGGGGTACAAGCCAGAGGTGCAGAGGGTGAGAGAATGAACCTGAGACAGCGGGGAACAGCAGGTGGGTCAGGAGAGGTCTGCCACGCCGTATGGGTCAGCTCTCTGGCTGGGATCACACTCTTGCTGCAGTGGCTTTGGGTAGTGTCAGAGTGCCATGCTTTAACCTTCTGTGCCACCACGAAGGCCTCCCCTTTTCTTTTTTTTAAGATTTATTTATGCTTACAGAACTAGGGTACAGGCAAGAGCTATGGTGGGTGAGAGGATTCACTAGAGACAGAGTGGGGAACAACAGGCAAATGTACTGAAATACACTGCTGAGGGGTTGCAAAGGGTGGGTCAGGAGAGGCCTGCCATGACATGTGGGTTATACCTTCTTTCAGCATTTATATAACTGAGAGTCTTCATTGCCTTTTACATGAAGGATACTTTTACTGAGTAAATAATTACCCCCATTTGGATAATACCCCAGCATTTTAATGGTGTTAAACTGCCTTTAATTTACATGGTCTCTGACAGTCTAAAGTTCTTACAATGGTCTACAAAGCATTAATGTTTTTATATGGAATATATCTTGATAACGTTTTCCCTGATAACCTTAAATAAAGTTGCTGTTTGACCTCGTTCCACCCTCACACATTTAGTCCTCTTTTCCCATCTAGTCTCCATGTGAAGTTTTTAGTCTGAATAATTTGGCCTTTTTTGAGAGATTAAGCCTCTTGATGCCCTGTATGTTAGGAGTTCTTTCTACCTTGGCTGACAGGAATTGAAATTGCTCCTAGTCTTGGTTTTCTTTCACTCATGTACTGATCAGTACTCAGCCTGAAGACAACTAGATTTTCAGGGCTCTCTTTGTGTAGCTCTCACCTCTCTGGTACTTTGCCTTGTGTGTGTGATTGTTCTCTTTTGGACTTTGTCTCAACTCAAGGAGTCTGAGTTTCAATTCTCCATTATAGTTACTTGAAAATTGCTTTTAGGAAATAAATTGGGTAATTGTTAAATTCATCTTGCTTTCTGTCAGTGTTCACTATCCTTTGCTGTATGTCATCTGAAAACTGACATTTAATTTTTTTTTTTAAAGATTTATTTATTCATACAGAACTGGGGTGCAGGCCAGAGGCTCAGGGGTGGCGAGAGGCTTCACCAGATATAGAGCGGGGAGCAGAACAGGCAGATCTACGAAGTACACTGCTGAGGGGAGCAGGCGGGTGGGTCAGGAGAGGTCTGCCACGCCATTTGATCACCTCCAGGGCAGGCGGAATCGAACTCATGCGAAAGTGGCTTTGGTTTCTCAGTGCTGTGCTTTAACTCACTGCTCCACCAGGAGGGCCATTTGATTTTTTTTGTCAGGATTTTAGTTGCTTAAGGTAGGAGGATATAACTACTTTTTGTTCTTATTTTTATATTTTTACATAGTTTTTTACTATAACCCATGCTACTTGTGATGTATGTTGCCGTTAACAATTTCTACTTATTGGAGTGAGAAACCATATATCTTACAGGAACAGAAGAAGAAAGAGAGACTGGAAAGAAAAAAGGAATCTCTAAAAGTAACCAAGGTAACATAGTAAGCTAAATGTTTGGTTTTGTTTTTAAGATTTATTTATTTCTGCATACAGAACTGGGGTACAGGCCAGAGGCTCAGGGGCAGCGAGAAGCTTCACCAGAGACAGAGTGGGGAGCAAAACAGGCTGATCAACGAAGTACACTGCTGAGGGGAGCAGGCGGGTCAGGAGAGGTCTGCCAAGCCATGTGGTCACCTCCAGGGCAGACAGGAATTGAACTCATGCGGAAGTGGCTTTAGCTTCTTAGTGCTGTGCTTTAACCAGCTGCGCCACCAGGGAGGGCCATCAGTCAATACTTGTATGTAAAACTTACTCCTTAGGAAATATCAAAATTCCAGTAAATTAAAACACTGAATTCTTAAAATTTTTTAAAGTTTTTTTTTTTTTAATGCACACAGAAGTGGGTACAGGCCAGAGGTACAGAGGCGGTGAGAAGCTTCACCAGAGACAGAGTGGGGAGCAGAACAGGCAGATCAACAAAGTGCACTGCTGAGGGGAGCAGTGGGTGGATCGGGAGAGGTGTTCTGTGCCATGTGGGTCACCTCCTGGGTGGGGATTGAACTGGCACTGAAACGGCTGTGGTTAGTTTGCAGTGCTGCGTCCTAACTCCTTGTACCACCAGGGAAGACCAAAATACTGAATTCTTAAGTTCAGTTACTTGGGGTTTTTTGTTTATGTTTTTGTTTTTTTAAGTGCCTCCTATGTAGTATGTAATTTTGCAATAAGAGCAATTTTTGGAAAGAGGTGCTTTTTAATTCTGTTGCTAATTGTAAGAACTTGTTGTATATTTTGAAAACCATAGACTTAGATAATTTCTCTAGCTTTACTATTCTATTTTTAACCTATTGATTTAGTCCATCCTTGACTTTTTACCTTTTTTTTTTTTAAGGGTTGTTTTTATTTGCATAGAAGAGGCTGTAGGCCAGAAGTGGGGGTTGGAGTCCCAAGATTTACTGGAGACAGAGTAGGGAGCAGAACAGTCAGATAAGCTGAAATAACACTGCTAAAGGAAGCAGCGAGCGAGACAGAGGTCTGCTGTGACCATGTGGGTCACCTCCCTGGCTGGGATCAAACTCTGGCAATAGCTTCATAGTACTCTTAACCCCCTGTACCACCAGGGAGGCCTCAACTTTTGCCTTTTTTACAGTTTGTCATTTTGATGTCTCATACTTATTGTCTACCTATAATTGATCATATACTCTTCCAACTCTGATGTTGAATCTTTTAGAATAGTTTTCTTTCTCTTAGTAATGTTTTGTATGCAGTATTAATACAACTTTCAGTTGTTTTAAGATTTTGCTATAAGATTTTTTATATCCATTTACTTTTTAACATGTGTACGTAAGTGTACATTTTTATAGAAGATGCATTTGTAATCACAAATTAAAAATGACCTCTACATCTATTTTTGAAATTTCTCTGAAGTGGAAAAATTGAGGAAAATAGATATTTGGGGAAAAGACAAAGGGATGTAGTAACAAGTTATGATAGGGAAATACAGAAAAATGTAATATGGTTAAGTATAGTAGTAAAAAGTTGGGAACGTGTACTTTATTAGTACCTTTTCACTGTACCATGTACTAAGTCTTCAGAAGTAGTAATTTTCTAAGTCTTTGTTTTGTAGGGTAAAAATACCACTGATGCAAGTGAAGAGAATTCAGGTAAATTTCCTCGGTTTGGTTTTGAAAAATTAATGACATCTGCTTTCATTGCTGTCAAAACAAATTGATTTTTTTATTATTGTTATATATATATATAGTTACAAGAAAGAAAAGAGGAAGAGAAGATGAATCATACAATATTTCAGAGGTTATGTCAAAAGAGGTAAAACTTTTTTTTTTTTTTTTTAAGATTTATTTATTTATTCATATAGAACTGGGGTACAGGCCGGAGGCTCAGGGGCGGTGAGAGGCTTCACCAGAGACAGAGTGGGGAGCAGAACAGGCAGATCTACGAAGTACACTGCTGAGGGAAGCAGTGGGCGGGTCAGGAGAGGTCTGGCTCGCCATGTGGTCTCCTCCGGGGCAGGCAGGAATCGAACTCATGCGGAAGTGGCTTCAGATTCTCAGTGCTATGCTTTAACCCACTGCGCCACCAGGGAGGGCCTTAGGCATATTTTAATAGCATCATGTTCATACGTAAAGCAAAATTCTGACCTTCCTGCCTGTTGCAATTTTTTCTTTGTCTGAAAATTCAAATTCTTTACATCTTCATAAAGTGTAAAACACAAAATTTTTTATATGATCCCTGTTTTAGGAGCTCTGTTTTCCTTTATTCATTAAAAAAACACTATTACTATGATTTCTTGATATTAGCCAGAAATATAGCTGCTAATTTATCAAATGTTTGATGAGTGTTTGCGCTTGCGTAATTAAAGTGGATGGGATGAATTACTAAAGAAAGATAAACTTGTGTTGGCTTTAGTCTACATGTAGTGAGCAATATGTAGAAGTATCATAACTAGAAAATGGGATGCTGTTCAGAATATAGAGGATCTCTTAACCTGGACATGAATTTCATAAAGTTTTTATCTGTGAAGTTGCATCTAAGTTGCAGCTTGAGGACTAAATGATGAACACAGAATGGTGATAATTAACATTGCTAGCATAAATCAATACAGAACAATGTTTATTAAGTGAATGAGCCTTATATGTCATTTTTGTTTTCTCAATTTTAGGAAATTTTGTCTGTGGCTAAAAAGAATAAAAAGGAGAGTGAGGTAAGAGAATTATAATCGATTATATTTGAGTCATATTTTCTTTTTCTAAGATTAATATATTTATGCATACAGAACTGGGATACAGGGTAGAGCAACGGGGCAGTGAGAGAATTCACCAAGACAGAGTGGGGAGCAAAACAGGCAGATTGAAGTACACTGCTGAGGGGAACAACTGGTGAGATGGGAGATGGCGGGGGATGGAACTCATGCTGAAGCAGCTGTCATTAGCTTTATAGTGCTGGGCTTTAACCTGTTGCACCAGCAGGGAATGCCCTAAGAGCCTTAATTTTTTTTCCTGATTATTAGTCTCTTCTTTAATCACCAGTGTATACACTTTTATCTCAATACATTCTTTTTTTTTTTTTTTTAAAGAATTATTTATTTATACATAAAAGAAGTGAGGTCTAGGCCAGAGGTGTGGGTGGTGAGAGGACTCACCAGAGACAGAGTGGGAAGCAGAAAAGGCTGATCTACTGAAATACACTGCTGAGGGAAGTATCCGGCTAGGTAGAAGTATGCTGCACCATTTGGGTTAGTTCCCTGGCCTGGGATTGAACTCATGTCACAGTGGCTGGCAGTGACTTGATAGCTCAGAGACTTTAACCCTTGTGCAAGCAGGGAGGCCACCTTGTTGCATGTTTCTTAATGCATAAACACTTATTTGTGATAGGTTCTTGGGAGTGTAGCAATAATGCAAGTTAATATGACCAAATGGATATTCTATAGTTTGTGGAAGCCTTAATCTTGTTTCTGGGCTTATTTTCTTTGCTACTATTTGAGAAGGCTTGATTTGTCCCACAGGCCCCTTTACAAAAGGAGATTCTTGGGCGAGTAGTCGGTATTCAAGTCCCTGTATTTAAAAGTTGTTTAGGAAGCAAAAGTAGCTATGACATTAAAAATGGTCACTAAAGGATATGATATAATTGATTTGATTATCAAAGATAAGAAAAGACTTGTCAAAATTGATAACATAATTATAAATTGAAGTAATCTGGATATCATAATTTTGTCCAAAGTTTATACCATGAAAGTCTGTTGATTTTTTTTTATTCTTTCCTCGGTATTAAGTTTGTGGTTGCAGTCATAACTACTTTAAATGTAAATAAGCTTTAAGTAAACATCTTTTTGTAATACTTATGTTTTAAAGGATAAAATTCAACCTGACCTGCCATGATTATTATAGAAAATTGACCTTGTTTTATAATAAGTATATTGTGCTTGAGGGATGATTCATTTTGGTTAATTTTGGTGTGTGTGTGTGTTTATATCTGTGTATGTATGATCAAGGTACAGAACATTTCTGTTAATGGTAGACAATTCGTTTGTTTCCTTTTCCAGTCGTTTCTTCAACCCAAACCTAGAGAGCAACCACTTTTTACTTCTTTCCCAAAGTAATTTTCCCAATACAAATGACGTGCAAGTTTTTTATTCCCCCTTTTCTGGTTCTTTCCATTATCCATTGATAATCCTGTAATTTTTTTCATGCATTTTCTTGGTGGTCATTTGGATTGTTTCTAATTTATGAGTTATGCAGAAGGCTGCGGTGATAATTTGTTTGGATGTTTTCATATTTTTTGGGTATATAGTAACCTTGTCATTTATTAGGTTATTTTTTGATAGTTGGAGTTTGTTTTTTAATTTATCTGTATGGTACATTTGTCACTTTCCTACATATTTTTCTAATTGTATCTTTCATTACACATAAGTTTGAAATTTTTTAACAGCTTAATTAGTTTTTGCTTTGCTTGGTCATTGCTTCCTATAGCTTGTTACAAAGTTATCAAGATATTTTTTTTTTCTTTTAAGAGTTCTGTGGTTCCCAGGTTTGATGTTTAGGTGTATGATTTCATCACTAATTAATTTTGTATAAGTGGTGAAATTCAAGGTTTATATTTTTCCCATTTGAATATCTAGATGTATCCGCATTATTTTATTTTATTTTTTTTATTATTATTTTTTTTAAGATGTATTTTACTTACACTAAAGAACTGGGCCAGAGTTCAGGGAGTGAGAGGATTCCACAGAGACAGTGGGGAACAGAACAGGCAGATCTACTGAAACACACTGTTGAGAGGAACAGGGGCAGTAGTCAGGGTAAGTCTGTTTGGCCATGTGGGTCATCTCCCTGGCCAGGATTGAACTTGTGTTGCAGTGGCTGTGGATACTTTCATAATTCTGTGCTTTAACCTACTGCACCACCAGGGAGGGTCCTGTGACAGCATTATTTTTAAGACATCCTTTTGGATTAGCTAATCAGAGGACAAGCCTTAAACTGGACTTGCAGTACCTGTTATTGACCACAAGTTGGTGCTGTTTGTTACATATAACTTGACACACTGGTATCCTCTGTTTTTAAACCTTATTTAACTTGCTGCTCACTGCAGTAAAAACACTTATGTGGAAGTAAATGTTTTTATATTCTTTGAAAGTTTTAATTTTCTTTTTATACCATCTATAATCTTAGTTGTGAGAGAAGTTATTTAAGAAAATACTAAGAAAAAATAAGATAATGCACTATGATTATAATAAAAATTATTTTTTAAATAGTTTAACAAATTCTTGGGTAACACATTTTAGACATTTTGGAAGAGAAAAGTGTATTTTTAAGTATTTTTGAAAAGTAGCTATAATCTATATGGGATAGAAATATTTTTTCAGTGACTTTGCAATTGTGGGGGAAATGGTGTTAACTGTCATAGGTTTTATTGAAAATATAATTTTTTTATACCTAAAATATTTGATAGAAATATTTTCTGCTAACAGGTACCATAAAGTATCAGACTTCTAATAAAAACCTTTTTTCTTCATAGGATGATAGCTCCTCTTCTAATCTCTGTGTAGAAGATCTTCAGAAAAACAAAGATTCAAATAGTATAATTAAAGATAGATTGTCTCAAACTGTGAGGCAGAATACTAAATTCTTTTTTGACCCAGTTCGAAAATGTAATGGACAGCCAGTCCCTTTCCAGCAACCTAAATACTTCACAGGAGGAGTGATGCGATGGTACCAAGTGGAAGGCATGGAGTGGCTTAGGGTAATGAATTTTCATTTTTTTAAAAAGATTTAATTTATTTATGCATACAGAACTGGGGTACAAGCCAGAAGTGCAGGGGCCGTGAGAGGGTTCACGAGAGACAGAGTGGGGAGAAGAACAGGCCAAGTGACAAAGTACTGCTGAGGGGAGCAGCGGGTAGATCAGGAGAGGTCTGCCATGCCATGTGGGTCACCTCCAGGGTGGGAATCAAACTCATGCGGAAGTGGCTTTAGCTTCTTAGTGCTGTGCTTTAACCCGCTGCGCCACCAGGGCGGGCTTGAATTTTCATTTTTAATATGACGCTGTTTCAAATATATTTATGTGTATATATATATATATATGCACCAAATGTCATGTAGTACAACCTGAGTTTGTTCCTTTCATATTTGACTGTAGGTTAAAAAATATTACAGAAGTACTTATTTTCCAATTTATTCAAAGTAGATATTTAGAACTAGAATTATGGTATAAAGGCAATAGTACTTCTGTGACTGAAGATCTTCTGTTACCCATAAACATGATTATGTCTTACAATATGAATATTTGTCTCATCATAATTGTTACCTTAGGATAAAAAAGAAGAAATAACACTAATACAATACATTTTTTAAAGATTTATATCTTTTAATATATATAAAAACTGGGGTATCGGCCAGAAGTGCAGGAGGTAAGAGGATTCATCGGAGACAGAGTGGAGAGCAGAACAGGCAGATGGACTGAAATACACTGCTGAGGGGAGCAGCAGGTGGGACAGGAGAGGTCTGCTGTGCCTTGTGGGTCAGCTCCCTACGGGGGATCAAACTCATGCTGCAGTGGCTGACATTAGCTTTATACTGTTAAAATAATCCCTGCACCAACAGGGAGCCCTAATTCAATAACAGAACTTAAATACAGTATATATTCTTTTATTTAGATGCTCTGGGAAAATGGAATCAATGGCATTTTAGCAGATGAAATGGGATTGGGAAAGACGGTTCAGTGCATTGCCACAATTGCATTGATGATTCAGAGAGGAGTACCTGGGCCTTTTCTTGTCTGTGGCCCTTTGTCTACACTTCCTAACTGGATGGCTGAATTCCAGAGATTTACACCAGAAGTAAGAAATGTTTCTTTCCTTTTGTTAAATATAATTTTAAATGTTTTATTGTTTTGTTGCTTAAATTGTAGACCTCTTAACTATAGTTACATCAATTTCTGTGGAAGCACATATTTGAGTAACTTTTATTCTGAACATATCTATTTTAGTTTATAGAAGACTAAGCATTAGTAATTTCTGACATTCTTTTCAAAATATCCTTGGATGATTTTCAGTGCACTGGATAATTTGATTCACTTGAGCGAACTTAGGTAGAATTTTTTTAATTTTGTTTTTTCATATCACAATGTTTTTGGGTTCTTTTTTGTTTTTTGTTTTGTTAAGATTCATTTATTTATTCATCCAGAACTGGGGTACAGGTCAGAGATGCAGAGGGTGAGAGGATTCACCAGGGACAGAGTGGGGAGCAGAGCAGGCGGATTGCCAAAGTACACTGCTGAGGGGAGCAGCGGGCGGGTCAGGAGAGGTCTGCTGCGCCATGTGGTCACCTCCAGGGCAGGCGGGGATCGAACTCATGCGGAAGTGGCTTAAGCTTCTTAGTGCTGTGCTTTAACACGCTGCGCCCAGGGAGGGCCTCACAATGTTTCTTTTGTAAATGTGATTCCTTAGTCATGTCTGGCTTATTTTGTTATTTACCACACTTTAGACTTGATTTGCTTATGTGACTTTTTATTCTGTGGTAACGCTGTATATTATTAGAATTGATTACCTTATTTTTGTTATGAAAAAATAAGTTAAATTCTTTATTCTTTCAAACATGATTTTTCCAAGTTGTTGATGTTCACATTGTGTTCTAAAGTTTATTACAAACCACAATAAAATCTTTTAGATTTCTACTATGTTATATCATGGGACGCAGCAGGAACGTAGAAAATTGGTAAAAAATATTCACAAGCGGAAGGGGACACTGCAGATTCATCCTGTGGTAATCACTTCATTTGAAATAGCCATGAGAGACCGAAATGCTTTACAGGTATTGTTGGTTTTGATTGGATTCTTTTTTTTAATCTCCATAAATCATAATTTTCATAATTCATGACATTTTCTCATCGTCCAATAGCATTTAGCTTTTTTCCTAATAGAAATTATAGATTGTATTGTGCACTTTTATATTAAGAGAAGGTTCAAGATCAAGGTTATGTTACAAAATTATAACCTATAGTATTTTAACCTATAGATCTAATATATTTAGTTGTGTTAAAGTCAGATACACATAGATCTAATCTAAATATATTACAGATCTGTGACATGTAGCTTGTATGTAAAACCACCCGTTTAATTTTAATCAAATAACAGTAAAATAAGAAGGCAGCACATTATTAAGATACTTTTAATGGATCTATCATGTAATATTCCAGCTGTTTTTTTAATGTTGTGGCTACTTTTTTAAAAAATTGAAAGACTGACCTTGGTTTATTATCTATTAATTCATTCTGTGATGTTTTGAACAGTATTTCAAATTGTTCTTGATTGCTGATGGAATATTAGAATGATTAATTATAGTAGCTGAGGATTTTAACAACTGAATTAAATTAAGTAGTATCAAAACTATTTACAATAAAATTAATACATGAAATATATAGAAAGACTAAAAAGAAATTATACTACCTGAGAATTAGGACTAGTATATTAGTTTTTTTCTTTCAATGAATTTACATTAATAAAGGATCCCAACTTTAGTGATAGGTAGGAGTAAGGAGAGGTGTTCAGGGATCGACTTCTGAGTGACAATAAATTTCTGAATCTAAGTTTGTGCATCCACTTGCTAAGTTGATTTTTCAGACTTGTCATCTGTGTTTCATTGACTTTTCTCTGTTGCTTGTATTTTCTTTTTTAGAGGTTTATTCATGGCATGTAAGAACTGGAGTACAGGCCAGAGGTGCAGGGGTGAGAGGATTCACTAGAGACAGAATGGAGAGCAGAACAGGCAGATGTACTGGAGAGGTCTGCCACGTCTTGGGTCACCTCCCTGGCGGGGAATTGAACTAGTGCTGTAGTGGCTGCAGATCACTTTATGTTTAACTTAATGCACCACCAGGGAAACCCGCTTGTATTTCTCTTTGCTGTTTTTAAGTTGGTGTCTTGTTGATAATTCAGATCGTCTGCTTTGTTATATTATCAGAGTTTCTTTCCAGCATGCTTTTGCTAAAGATGTCATATTAATCTTTTATTCTACTATGAATGTATAAAACAATGATTAAAGATGCCATATTTCACACTCTTACCCAATTCACCAAACCTCTTAATTAATTTTACCTACACTTGTCATTAGGGATTTATATTTCTAGAAATAGTACATGTATCTAAATAACTGTAAGAAATTGAGAACAGTAGGTTAGAAAGTGTTATTGTTAAATGTTAGACCTCAGGGATGAAAATTCTTTTCTTTTAAAGATTTATTTATTTGTGCATACAGAACTGGGGTACAGGCCAGAGGCTCAGGGGCGGCGAGAGGCTTCACCAGAGACAGAGTGGGGAGCAGAACAGACAGATAGACGAAGTACACTGCTGAGGGGAGCAGCGGGCGGGTCAGGAGAGGTCTGCCACGCCATGTGGTCACCTCCGGGGTAGGCAGGGATCAAACTCGTATGGAAGTGGCTTTAGATTTTCAGTGCTGTGCTTTAACCCGCTGCGCCACCAGGCAGGGCCCGGGATGAAAATTCTAATGCTACTTAATATTTCAGAGAATTTGGAATAAGTAATGTTGAACTTAATAGGACTCTTTTTTTTAAAGATTTATTTATTTTGGCTTATAGAACTGGGGCATATGCCAGAAGTTGTATGGTGGGTGAGAGGGTTCACCAGAGACAAAATGGGGAGAAGAATAGGCAGATTGACAAAGTAGACTGTTGAAGGTAGCAGTGGGCAGGTCAGGAGAGGTCTGCCGCCATGTGGGTCAGCTCCCTGGCTGGGGATCGAACTCGTGCTATAGTGGCTTCAAAAAGCCTCTTAATGAGGTGCTTTAACCTGTTGTGCCATCAAGGAGAGCCCGAACTCATAGGAATCTTAAAGTATATTTAGATCAAAATTTGACAAAGCAAAGGACTAGAGAAATCTTAAATTATATAATAGTAGGTGAGCTTTAATTTTTCTGGCCTGGTGAGAGCTATCCAATAACAAGTAATACGTCTGTTTTGAGAATAACTTTATCTCATTTATAGATCAAAAGAAAACATCTATATACAGAAAACATTTATATACAGTAGGCCCTTTGGTAAACTTGATATCAGTCAAAGAGAAGTTTATTATTATAACGTTAGGGAAAATTATGAGATCAGTAAAAAAATGTTTCTCAATTCATTTCCTAGCATTGTGACTGGAAATACTTAATAGTAGATGAAGGACACAGGATTAAGAACATGAAGTGCCGTCTAATCAGGGAATTAAAACGGTTCAATGCAGATAACAAACTTCTTTTGACTGGTACTCCCTTGCAAAACAATTTATCAGAACTTTGGTCTCTGCTAAACTTCTTATTGCCGGATGTATTTGATGACTTGAAAAGGTAGGTATGTTGTTATATAAAACAATTTTCTATATTTTGCAGCTGTTGCAAAATATATTCATTAATTATAATTGATTCATTTCATCTGGTTGGCCTGGATTAAAATGATAGATTTTTGGAGGGCAAGTTTATATATATTTTCTACTTAACTCTAATGTAAATAAAAAATTACTTAAATGTTTTTGTTCACATTGACTAAATAAAAACTGTTAAAGGTTTCCTTAAAAATAATTAATTAGGTTCTTAGTGAACTGTTAAAAAGCTTTCAGGTGGATTTTTCTCATTTTGTCCCAAAACAAGGAAGTGGATAGGCAGGATATATGCCTTCTTACCTATAAGAAAACCCAGTTGGAAAGTTACTATAAAGTACACAATACTTTGTGTAAAGTACACAAGTTAAACAAAGCTACCAGTTTCATCCTAGTGCTTTTTAGACTAGAAACTATAAATCTTATATTTATTTTGATAACAATAAAGGGGGAAATTTTGTGTGGGAGAATAGCTACTAAAGAATAAGATTTAATGGTTTTATGCAGACCAGTGAAGATACAACATTGAGGTAGTACCTGGGGAACCTTAATTGATAAAACTTGCTTCAGATAATCCAGATTTGGGAATATCTAACCTAAAAACTACTTCAATGTTAGTATTTTTCCTAGGTGGATTTCCTGACAATATAGTGTTATATAGTAGGACATACTTAATTGCACCTTTTACTAGCCTTTTTTCCAATATAAAAATACATAAGAATGAACTAAAAGTATGTGATGCAGGTATCAAGGTATGTACATTTGTTTATACTCAAACAAAGGCTTTAATTGGTAAAAGTGAGTTTTCATTTCTATAACTATTTACATAATTCATTAAATTTGTGCCTTAATATTTCTTTTTGTTTATTTATACTGTTGTAAGATTTTGGTAATGTATTTGTAGGTCAGAAAGAATGTCCCTATCAGGTATAAATTCATGATCCTTATATACAGTTTAATATAAAATATGTTAATGTAATTGACTCATTGTAGGTTAACTTATAATCTCTTTTCTCTTCTAGCTTTGAGTCTTGGTTTGATATCAGTAGTCTTTCTGAAACTGCTGAAGATATTATTGCTAAAGAAAGAGAACAGAATGTATTGCATATGCTGCACCAGGTTTTGATTTTTCCTTATTCTGCTTGTTGTAGACTCAGACTGTAAAGGGAAACCTAGCTATAGCCATAGCCCCTCCATCCTCTTTGTACTTTGAAAAATGAAGATACCCCCTCACCCCAGTTTAACTTATTCTCCTGCCCTTTCTGCACACTCAGAGATCACGTGACTTTCAGCAACTTTAAATGCTTTTTGAAATTTTGCCCTTTTCATGTGTTTTTACTAACATTTACTGATATTTCAGTCAGAATGTGAAAATAGTGGATTTTATCAGTAAAAAAGAAAGTTATAATAGTGGGATGATGTCACTGACGTGTGGATATAAATTAACTAAATTAGTAGTCGGATACAGACACGTTTAAAAACTAATCCTTTATAGCTAACTACAGAAGTGAAGCACCAAGGAGGGGAGTGGGTAAAAGGGGTAAAGACAAAGACAGGTCTGTGGTGGTGGAATATGGGTACAATGTAGTGATAATACCTAGAAGGGGGTACCCCAATATTAACTAAAAATTAATTTGGAGAAAAGTGTAGTTCTAAGTGTATTAGCTGGAGAAAACTGCTTAAAAATCTTGTTTTTACTTTTATTTGTATTATTTTTAAAATGTTAACTCAGTGAGTTACATACATAGAAACATTTCCTTATGAACTAAAATAATAAAACACATATTTTGAAAAAATAAAGTATGAGATAATGGGAGAGTAGTCTATAAAAACAGGAATGTTTTAATACTTACATTTAATCTTTAGATTCTAACGCCTTTCTTACTGAGACGACTGAAATCTGATGTTGCTCTTGAAGTTCCTCCTAAACGAGAAGTAGTTGTGTATGCACCACTTTCAAAGAAACAAGAGATGTTTTACACAGCCATCGTGAACCGCACAATTACAAACATGTTTGGATCCACTGAGGTAAGAGTGGCATATACTGTAAATCACAATTAGTAGAGAAAAGTTCATACTTGATTTTAATCTTAATGCTCGTCACTTGTTCTCAGCATTTACTTGAAAGTAAACTTCTAACTGTAGTATAAATCATGTAGCCAATAGCAAAAAGTTGTCTCTTAGTCTGTGTTCTAAAATTGAAGTTTTGGCTAATGCATAATTGCATTGTAGTCATTTGGATTGCTTATTAGGCTTTCCTATGCCTATCCCAAATTAACTTTAATCTTATCCTCTGGCTGTATTTGGAATACATATGAATAAACACATAGTAGTTTGAAAATGCCTTATTATATTCTTAACAACTAGATAATCCCTCCCCTAACCTAACAGTCCCTTAACAGGTTTCTGATAGCCCAAAAGGTGAATAGAAATACTTTATTTGAAAGAAATACTTTCATTAGTCACCCATCTACAAAAGATGAAAGTGTAACGTGATAACTGAAGATTAGGAAACATTTTAAATGTTCAAATTTTTGACTTATCTCTTAGCCTTATGTATTGCTTTTTCAAAATGCTTATGGTTATACATTTTAATTTTGTAACTATTGAATTCTCTCTACCTATTTTTTTTATAATTCAAGGGAGAATCTTGATTTTTAGCTATTGGAAACTTAAAAGAAGTGTAAGTTACATACTTAATGAATACATTATAGTATTGTACTATGCCAAAGGTTTATCTTCCATAATGCAGATTTATGGAGCCTTCCTTCAAGTCTATGCTGTTATTTTCATCCATTCTTAAGTTTCTCTCTTATGTGAAAGCATTTATTTTCATTCTCTGGAATTGTCATCAGTGTTAAAACATTAGAATTGACATAACATCAGTTGTTTATGGATACTTGATTTATGGTGATGGTAAAAGGCAAAAAGTATTTTATACTTTATAACTTAAGGGTATAGGGCTGGGTTTTTTTTTTTTTTTTTTAAGACTTTCATTTATTTATGTACATAAAGGTGGGGTATAGGCAGAGGGTCAGAGGTGGTGAGAGTTTTTACCAGAGACAGAGTGGGGAGCAGAACAGGCTGATTGATGAAGTACGCTGCTTAAGTACACTGCTGAGGGCAGTATTGGGCGGGTCAGGAGAGGTCAGCAGCGCCATGTGGGTCACCTCTAGGGTGGGGATTGAACTCATGCTGACGTGGCTTTGGCTTCTTAGCACTGTGCTTTAACCTGCTGCGCCACCAGGGAGGGTAGAAAGGTATAGGTTTTAACACATTTCTTTAATTTGTTCTTTTTTAGAAAGAAACAGTTGAGTTAAGTCTCACGGGACGACCAAAACGGAGAACTAGAAAATCAGTAAATTACAGCCAAGTAGATGATTTCCCTAATGAATTGGAAAAACTGATCAGTCAGATACAGCCAGAGGTGGAGCGAGAAAGGTGTGCTTAAAAATAAACTTGTTTGTTTTAAACTGTGATATGTTTTGTGTTTTCCCATATTCATGGATTATGTGTTTATGACAGAACTGTTGTGGAAACAACTATCCCTGTAGAATCTGAAGTTAATCTGAAGTTGCAGAATATAATGATGCTACTTCGTAAATGCTGTAATCATCCATATTTGATTGAGTATCCTATAGACCCTGTCACACAAGAATTTAAGGTGAATACCGTTTAATGATGTACTATCTCAGTTTCTGTAGTTTTAATATGGAAAGTTTCCTTTTTGTTATTTAAATAAGTTTGCTATTTGTTGTATAATGATTCTAATTTTCTGGTGATACCATCTTCTTACCCTTAAATTCAGGGAAATTTATGAGTTAGAATGAGTCATTTTCTATATTTTGGGGGGTAGCCTCACATTTTTATTTACATATTTCATGTGACTATAATATTACATTGAGAATACTGTTGAAAATAATAATGTCTTTATATAGGAGATAGTTGTCAACTTTTCAGAATTCCTTTTAATTGGCCTTCAGGTTGCTAAAAAGCAGTCTTGGCTATTCGTTGCTTAAACCAACAGATAGCTACTGACAACAGTATTTTAAATATTCACACTGTTACAAGCTCCTTGGTTTCTTTAATTTAAAAAAAATGTTTCTTTAACTGGGATTTGCCATTAAAATTAAACTGTACACATGGTTTTTTTTCTTGAATTTTTTTTAAGAAATTATTACTGATCATTATGATTTTATGTTTCTCTCCCCCCATTTCTCACTTTTAAGATTGATGAAGAATTAGTGACAAATTCTGGGAAGTTCTTAATTTTGGATCGAATGCTTCCAGAGCTAAAAACCAGAGGTCACAAGGTAGAACTTTTGATTGGACTTTTTGTTTGCTTTATTTTGTCAAAATAGGTACTAAGGTATTTTTAAATTTTAGGTGCTGCTTTTTTCCCAAATGACGAGAATGTTGGATATTTTGATGGATTACTGCCACTTTAGAAATTTTAATTTTAGCAGACTTGATGGATCCATGAGTTACACAGCAAGAGAGAAAAATGTAAGAATGCTTATTCATACTGAATTTTTATTTTTTTTGGATTATATTTATTTGTGTGTATATAAGAATTGGGATATAAGCCAGAGCTGTAGATGTTGAGAGGATTCACCAGAGAGAGTGAGGGACAGAACAGGAAGATATAATGAAATACACTGCTGAGGGAAACAGCAGGCAAGAGAGGTCTACTGTGCCCTGTGGGTCAGCTCCCTGGCCAGACATGGATCGACCTCCTGCTGTAGTTGCTGCTGATGGCTTGCTAACTTTTTGACATTAACCCCTGCATCACATGGGAGGCCTTCATACCGAATTTTTATCTGTAACTTCTATTTTTATTTCTGAGGTAATGTTCCAAATAGACATACAAATTTATAAAAAAAGACCAAAAATCCTACAATGCTATCAAAAGTCATTTTGATTTAGTATTAATAATTCTCAATGTTTCTAAAATTATAAATTCTGGCACGACCCTTACAGAATATTACCCCACTTAACTACCAAGATAACTTTGATTTTGGTTTCCATTCAACATTCTGTTCTGTTTTGTTTTCAAAGATTTATTTATTTATGCATACAGAACTGGGGTTCAGGCCATAGGTGCAGGGTGGTGAGAGGATTCACCAGAGACAGAGTGGGGAACAGAACAGGCCAATTAAAGAAGTACACTGCTCAGGGTTGCAATGGGTGAGACAGGAGAGATCTTCCAAGCCATGTGGGTCACCTCCGGGGCTGAGGATTGAACTCCCACTGAAGCAACTGCGGCTCGCTTTCAGTTCTGAGCTTTAGCCTGCTGTGCCACAATGGAGAGCCCAACATTCTATTTTATTGCTTTTCAGAATAAACTACAGATGATGCATCTCTAGTTTCATATGCATGCTTTCTTTTGGGAATAAAATCCTGGAATGAATACATAAAGGATTTAGTCCCTGAGTTTTCTTGAACACATATGTATGTGTGATCATAATCTTCTTTCAAGATAAAAAATGTCAGCCCAGAAAGTTCCCTCATGCCCTCTTCCTGTCAGCCCATCTTTCCTGTGTACTCCATCTCCCAGCCAGTAACTTATTACTTTTTGAAGGAGGATAGCCTTGAGTTGTTTTTTTTTTCTCTCTGAGTATTATATTTTCTCCTTTAAATTTACTTTGTGATGATTAAGCCTTTTTTAAGCCATTAGGATGTGCTTTATAAAATAGGTATTTGGAAAATTAATGCAATTGACTTAAGCATGTTTTATTAGTTGGTATATTGACCAACTTGGCCTACTTGAATAAGTTTTTAATCACATAATTAAAGATTATTTCTTCATTCTATTAATTATTTAATTCCTTGTGTTTGTATCCATTTTGCTTTTAGATGCACAACTTCAACACAGATCCAGATGTGTTTATTTTCTTAGTGAGTACACGAGCTGGTGGCCTGGGTATTAATTTGACTGCAGCAGATACAGTTATTATTTATGATAGTGATTGGGTAAGTTGACATGTAGCAATATGCTGATTATATTTTCATTTTCAGTATTTAGCATTTTATTCTTCGAACACATTCTGTTCTCATTCATTTTGAGAGGTACCATTTTTAGATCAGAATTTTATCAGTAACCTGCACCAAAAGACTTGAACATGTTATCAATGAAGCCTCTCTAGAAATCAAATTAAAACAATTGAAAGATTCTGATTGATTCATGTACTTTGAATTTACCCCAAAGTATCAGTTTAAGTAATTACAACCTTAACCTATTGTTTTTCTTTTTAACTTAAAGAATCCCCAGTCTGATCTTCAGGCCCAAGATAGATGTCATAGAATTGGTCAGACAAAGCCAGTTGTTGTATATCGTCTTGTTACAGCAAATACTATCGATCAGAAAATTGTGGAAAGAGCAGCTGCTAAAAGGAAACTGGAAAAGTTGATCATCCACAAAAGTAAATAACTACTTTTTTGCTTCTGTTGTGTGTCGCAATTTTTGTTACCATTTTCTTGATAAAAGAAATGAGTGCACTTTGATCATCACAGGATTTGAATAGGTAATGTGAGGTATTGGGGACTATAAAATGGCAAGATTAAGTTTTTGACTATTAAAAAAACATTAGCATGGGCCCTCCCTGGTGGCGCAGTGGGTTAAAGCACGCACAAAGAAGCTATAGACACTTCCACATGAGTTCGATCCCCCGCCTGCCCCAGAGGTGATCCACATGGCGCGGCAGACCTCTCCTGACCCGCCTGCTGCTCCCCTCAGCAGTGTACTTCATCGATCTGTCTCTTCTGCTCCCTGCTCTGTCTCTGGTGAATCCTCTCACCCTCCACATCTCTGGCCTGTACCCCAGTTCTGTACGAATATATAAATCTTTTAAAAAAAAATTGTTAAAAAAAAAAATTAGCATATGTGTACATGTGGGTATCAGAGGATCAAGACAGTTTTATAGTGCCAGTGTATACTCTAATGGAGCTTCCACATATTTAAAACTATACTTGATAAATAGGGTTGTCTGTCAAAAAAAACTAAAGAAAAAGTTCAAATCTTTTCTTGTAACTTCAGTATTTAAATATTATTTTAAGGGTATATACTGAGGTAATATTATAAAATAGTTTACTTTGTTTAACCCAGTATTTAAAAAACTGTTAGATTTCAAAATGCTCTCTTTTAGTCTTTTATCAAATTACTCCTTTGCAAATAGTTTTTAATGTAGAAAAGTTCCCGATCCTGTCTCCTGAGTCTCAGGGATAAATCTGGTGACAGACAGAAGTCTGTGAGTTATACAGGAATTTGAGTTGAGGCATTGGCATTTTGTTATTTTCAAGATTCCTTACAGAAAGGGCTACTTCTGTCATTGACTATAAAATTCTATTTGAATAAGTAGTATGTTCTTTAACCTTAAGAATAGTTAATCTATATAAGATAAAAGTCTAAAGAAATTGGAAGCATTATAATATTGATAGTCACTATTTTATGCTACTTTTCTACTTGAAAGTACTCTCTCTCCTATATCTGATTTTTGGGAAATGTGGCTTAGGTTTTACACATCATTAATTTGACTTGATGGAATAATCAGAATATAGCTGGAAATTGCATTGAAGTGGGGAAAAACTAGTAAGATTTTGTTTTTGTTTTTTCTCTTGAGCTCCTTTAGGAATTTGAATAGTGCAATAAATAAAATTGTTTACTGCATTAGTTTAGGTTTATGTAGCTTTAATATCTTCTATTTTCAGTATTTTGGGAGATTTTCAAAAAACACATAGAAAGGAATATTTATATATAGTGCTGACAGTTTTTTATTGAGTACATATAATGTATATATGGCAAAATGTCCAATAAGAATATAGATAGATGAATTTTGAGAAATGTGTACTTATGTGTAATCCACAAGGTAAATACAATCCCCTCTTTCAAGAAACTGTACTGAATACAGCCTTTTCAGTCATTACCCGTGTCCCCTTGTCTCTCACTAGAAAGTAATCACTTAAGATTTCTGTCACATAACTCTATTTTCCCTTAATTTCATAAGTGAACTCATTTGTATTGATGTATTTTTTTTTTTTTTTGGTCTGTTTACTTTTGTAGTTGCTGAATATTGTGTTTATTAATCATGCTGTTGATCATTGGAGTTTCCAGTTTTTTGTTTTGTTTTTTAAGATTTATTTATGCATACAGAAATGGGGTACAGGCCAGAGGTGCGGGGCATTGAGGGGATTCACTAGAGACAGAGAGGTGCAGAACAGGCAGCTTGATGAAGTACACTGCTTGAGGGGAACAACAGGAGACAGGAAAGGTCTGCTGTGCCATGTGGATCAACTCCAAGCAGGGGATCGGACTCACAGTGAAGTGTGTAAGGCTAGTGCTGGGCTTTAACCTGTTGCACTGCCAGGGAGGGCCCCTGGAGTTCCCAGGTTTGCTTACGAATAAGCTGTTCTTGCAATTATTTTGTGGCACATACATTTATTTTTGAGGCTATGGTAAGTATATATACGTTTGCCTGTAGGAAAAGGCTGAATTTTTTCCTGAAGTCCATGGATTTTGTGCTCCTACTAGGAAAGGACAAGAACGTTCTGGCACGTGGTTTTTTTGTTTGACCTTTTTAGTGAAAATTTAGTTTGTTTATAGTGTATCCTGTTTTGGCTTTAAAAGCAATTTTGAATGTTGAGTTTCTTGCAAATTTTTTTCTAGATCATTTTAAAGGTGGTCAGTCTGGATTAAATCAATCTAAGACTTTCTTAGATCCTAAGGAGTTAATGGAATTACTGAAATCTAGAGATTATGAGAGGTAAGTTTTTGGGTTTTTGTTTGTTTGTTTTTATTTTTTTAAGTTTCGGGGAAAATGATATTCATAGTTCTGATTTATCTTAGAGACTTGGATATTTTCTTTTCTAGGGAAGTAAAAGGATCAAGAGAGAAGGTCATCAGTGATAAAGACCTAGAGTTGTTGTTAGATCGAAGTGATCTCATTGGTAAGTGTCTCATACTTTTACCTTTTTCGTATGTGTAGAAGAACTGGAGTATAGGCCAAAGATGCTAGGGGTGGGAGTGCTGAGAGGATTCACCAAAGACAAGGGGAACAGAATAGGAGTCCCACTGAAATACACTGTTAAAGGGAACAGCGGGCAAGGTAGCAGTGTTAGTGTTGAGACTTACCTAAGCCACCAGGAAGGATTTATTAGGGTGTTTTACTTTTTAAAAAATAAATACTGTAACTGTTTTTGATATTTTTCTCTTAGATCAAATGAAAGCCTCCAGACCAATTAAAGAGAAGAATAGGATTTTCAAGATACTAGAAAATTCTGAAGATTCCAGTCCTGAATGTTTGTTTTAAATTGGAACTAAAGAATATCTTTAAAATATTATTGCTTATATCTAATGATATACCTTTGTTGGTGTTGAAATTCATATTGTTTACTTTTTTTGGTTATATCAGTTTATATAACTAGTACTATTGCATAATTAATAGATAGTAATTATCTGAGCCTTGTTAAGAGAAAAAAGTATTCACATTAAGTGTAGACTTTCAGTTAATTTTTCAGATTCTGTAGTACTCTTTGGGTACAAACTGATGTGTACTTAACCACTGCCAGAATTAATCACTCTTCCTGTGGAAGTTTAATAAATGCTTTTCTCCCTCTTTTAGCAATACAGTTCATGGGCTTTTGGTACTTAAGCTAATGAGTAGGCTTTTGAGAGGGGAGAGACTGGAATTCTGTTTTCTGTTGTTTTAATAGGAAATTGTTAAATGTTAAGGTCTTTCTATTAAATAGTTTTTGAATAAATGTTACAAGATTTCATCAGATCTTTTTTCAGAAAAAATGGCTTTGGTAAAATAATAGCAATAGTGTTTACTGTCATTGAGATTCTACATTATTACGCTGATTTGGTTTCATTCACAAGTTCTATAACAAAGATTCACATTGGACATTGAGTTGGTAACAGAGAAGTCTGAGAAAAAATAGTTTGTTTTTTAAAATTTTTTTATTTTTAATTTTTAATTATGTGCATACAAACTAGCATGTAAGCCAAAGATGTGTGGGTTAGAGGATTCATCAGACACAGAGTGAGGAGCAGAACAGGCAGACCTGCTGAAGTAAACTGCTGAGGAGGGCAGCAGGAGACACAGGAGAGGTCTGCTGTGCCATGTAGGTCAGCTCCCTGGCTGGAGGTAGATAGCTTGATAGTGCTAAATCCTTTCCCACTAGAAAACCCTCCAGTTTAATCTTGATTTCTTCTGTTTGATAACTTTTTTTTTTTTTTTTTTTGCTAAATTGCTAGCAACACGTTGGCTCTGTTTTCCTTAAACTCTTTTGGTCTCCTTTGCTATTTACTTTTTATATCTTTGACTCCTAGATTTAGATTGTCCCTAGCATGACTTGGGGTTTCCATTATTGTCTTAACTCCTTGCTAAAACACCATCTGTGTGGTGACAGATTGGTGTTTCTCGTCAGAATTTGATCTACCACAGTTCTCTTGAAATGCCTTTGACATTTTTCTGTGGTTGCCTGGCAGTTATCCCAAATCTGAATTTTCTTTTTTCTCCAGCCCAACTTTGCGTCTCTGGCATCGTTCAGTAAATGACAATTATATTTTTCAGTTATTACAAACAAAAGTCTTCATGTTCTTGACTCCTCCCCTTTGCTCACATTTGCCATCTGACTACAGGAAATTAAATTTCCTTAATAAAATTACCAAGAATCTCACCATATCTACATCGCTGTCATTCTTTATTGCCATATCCTTTTGCCTTCACCCTTCTTCCTGTCTATCCTAAGTTGTCAGTTTCGCTGAGTAGTTGTAGTTCAACCAGATATTTGTCACTCCTTAGTCCAAGTTCCTTTGTTTCCTTTGCAAATGTCAATAAAACCATTGTTCTAGAAATGTTTATGTCATCCAGTCAGGTCATATGGTTCTTATCAAATTTAGAGCTTTGTAAACTAGAGAGCAAATGGCTTTTTGTCTTCTTAAGTTTACACTGAGTTGTGAACTCAAATTGAAAAAGCACAAGAGTACATCTGTAATAGTAAGCTTTTCTGGCCCTCCCCCCCCCCTTTTTTAATCAACTGGTGATATAATTATTAACTAAAGATTTTTGGAGATACACAGATGGGGATGAACAGTGCAGTGTTGATTCATAGCACTTCACTCAGTAACTGACTCAGGTGCACTGAATGTTTGCCTGGAGGGGATTGTGCGTAACTTAGGAGATGTGAGTTCTAGTTTAAGTTCCACCATCTGCAGATACTATGCCCTTAGTCCAATTACTGAAATTCCAGGCTGAGTGAAATCATTTTGTCTCAACAAAATGGATCAAGAGAGATGCTAAATGTGGAAATTCATGAGAGAGCCACTTTAGCCTTGAAAAAAAATTCCCTTACCAGTGCAGCTTAGAAATAGCTATACTGATCAATTTAGTACAGTTAATAACCTGTATATCCCTATAGAACTCATTTGCATAGCATTGTCATTAATATCTTGTAATTATTCTATTGATTTTTAGTCCCTTAACCACTAAAAATCTAGAAATTTATACATGTGGGTCTGTGCTTTGGGTTTGTTGATGAAATCCCTGGCGCCAATTCTCCCTGAGTCCATTCCTGTTATTCTGCCTGTAGTCTCCCTTGCTGTGCAAACTTCTAATTATTTTCTATAAGACATTTTAAAAGCTTAAGAGAAAGCAACTGTGTCTGGGGGTACCTGAGAACTGGTATAAGTCAGTTCTTTAAACCCTGCCTCTAAATGTTGAATGTGAGGCTTGTTTTAATACTGGGGTATAGATGCCGTAATATGGGAGATTAGTTTGGATTTGCTAAAACTACTTAATATAGTAGTGCAAGTGCATTACAATGAGTCTCAATCAGAAAGGACAGGTTTATTACATGAAAAAACATTCACAGAAACAAGCAGAAAGCTGCAAAGGGAAAAGGTTTGTGAAAAACAACTGCACAGTCACAGGCAGTAGGAGAGCTGCCTCTCCCATCACATTTTAAATCCTGTTTTATCAGTTTGAGCTGTTTAAGGGCACTGGACAAACAACTTCCCCCAAATCACCTTTTCCCCAATTTGTGACATATGAAATGAATATCTACATATTTGGGGAGGGTGAATCTTATGACAAAGGCATGTAAATTTACTGAACTAATGATCAGAAATGGATTTTTACTTGAAAATCTTAAGAGTTTATTTGATACACTGAATATAAAGATTTTCCTCTTATCTACCATGTAAAAGCTATTAACAAATCTGATGGTTACACACGACAAATGCTAAAAACGGTCATGATGTACTCCTATACAAATTTCAGCTGGCATCACTCTAGAAAGGTGATAAGGAAAATAGTTTATCAGATTCAAGTAGCAAATATGACAAGTGTATGCAAGACCAAGTCAGTAATTTTAGGACACCTGCAGATTTGGGAGGCTGTAGTGTGAATGAATACATGAAAATGGCAAGGAAGATCTATACAAGGAAAAGCTAGAATGAGGGATTTTCACCAAAGCAAGCTAAATTCTTGTCAATTTCCGAAACAAGTTTGTGACAATAGACTATAGACAGGTTACACCAGTTTCTGTATGGCAGCTAAAGTTAGAATTTCTTCACTGGTGTATAGGCATCATAGCCACAGTAAAGTTCTGTTACCACTTAATGCATGTGTTAGGTGGAGGGAGTGTAAGTTCTATATCCTGTTAAAACGTGAAGACAACGTTCATTCTGTGTCAGGGAATGACCGGTGGATCTTGTTTATAAATTGCTCCAGCGACTACTTCCTTAAGTAAAATTGCCGTCAAATATTCCATCACCTTACTCTAAAAGGAAGTTGATCCAAAAATGTTTTCTCAGGTAGTAGTGAAACTACAACCTTCTTTCTCTAATTCACTTAACCATTCAGACACTATCTTCTAACATAATTGCAGCTGGAAGAGGCAGATTGGTTTTAACTGACGGTAGCTATTGAAGCGGCCCTAGTTGCTCACTTCTGTCAGAGGAATCGCTGAACGGCCCGTAGACGTCAGTCAGATTCTGGGACCTCGTGAATCTGCTGTGTGTCTGGACTATAGGTTCTCTCCATGTCCCACCTCCACGCCCTTGGCTGCTACGCACCGGCGCAGCGGTCCCAAAGCCAACTTGTGGGCGGGCGGTCACATGACGATCACCCGGCGAGTTTAGCTCCTCCCTGCGCTCTGGGCTTCCGCATCTGCTTACTCAGGAGCCCAGAAGAACAAGCATAGATCACCGTGGTGGATTGCGGCTTGGCGACCGTGAGGCAAGGTCACAGGGTTTCTATGTTTTAATGTTTAGTCAAGATGTTTGAGTTATGTTAACTTATTTATAGGCAGCTATGAAGGTCATAGAATCTTTAAAATCTTTCATTTTCAACAACAAAGTTTCCGATGTTAATACAGCATTACAAGTTCACTTCAATTTTAAAAGTCATAAAATAGACGGTCCTTAAAAGTCACAAATTCCCAACCAGTCGTTGATTTGAATCCAGAGATTTTAAATCCAAGTTACTTATGTGAGTGATTCGCAATCCTGGCTGCACAATGGAACGACCTTAAATTATCATTACCTGTACCTTACTCAGTATAATTAAACTAGAATCTCCGCGTGATCACTGAACAGAAGGAAAATAAGATTAAGAAATAATTGTTATTTTAATCATTGTACCAAAGTCCACTTAAAAGAACATATAAAATGGGTGTAGCTGATTGGTCTCTATATGGCAGTGGCACTTGTTGACATAGTGGGGAGTGTTATAAAAGCTTTAGATTTCAATCTCACATTTTCTCAGTAAGGGTAGAAAGCGCCAATGGATTTGGTTGTGGTCTTGGTACTCTGTCTCTCCTGTTTGCTCCTGCTTTCTCTCTGGAAACAGACTTCTGAGAGAGGGAGGCTCCCACCTGGCCCCAGGCCTCTACCAATATTTGGAAATATTCTACAATTAGATGTGAAGGACATCAGCAAATCCTTAAGCAATGTAAGTATGTTTTATGTCCCTCTTGTGGCTTTCAAATGGTAAGTAAATTAGCTTGAATTTTTGACAATTTTATTTATTTACAACCCCAATTTTAAAAACAATATTTTCTCTGTAGTGTGCTGTCAAAATAGGTCATTTTAAGTTAAATTTCTTCCTCTAGTTTTTGATATTTCTCTTGCCTTTTCCAGTCTATAATTGTTATAAATAGTGGACTGAAATAATGCGTTTTGTGAGTAGACAAAACGGGTTTTCAGGTGGCAGGATCAAAGTAAAGTGACAAAAGTTGCTTCCCTTCATTTTACTACCATTTGTTATTATTTTGGTTGAAGGTAAATGGTAAGGGAAGTTTTTTGATTATAGATTTTATTCTAGAGGTCATCTAATTTAAATAAACCGTGTGTTTTGTTCAGATAACCTCTCTGAAGAAGTAAATTGTGTTCAGTGTTAACAAATAACTCTGGGCTTAGGAAGATCATGAGTGAATGGAAAGAAGTAATTAGTCAGGATCTGGTTATAGGAACATCATTCACCTGGGTCTGCACACAGCTGGCCTCTGATTGGAAGAAATTTTCTTCCTAGAGATGCCTTTGCCCTGACAATACTTCTGTGGTATCCCCACTGTATTTGTTTGTAATACCAGCAGATCAGAAGGTGAGCTGGGCAGTAGAATTACCTGATTTGATTTTTTTAAGCTACAGATTTCTAGTATTCATTTCAGGGCTACGGTATCAGAGTTCCCAGAGGAGAACTTTGTAGGTGATCCTTCAGCAATCAGGATTTGGTCCAAAGGTGAATTCTAAGGATTGATAAATTGGTCAAGATTAGAGAACAATTAAGAGGTTCAAATTTGGATTTTCTATTTACTGACCATGGATGCTGGATATGAATTCAGATTGTCTTATATTAGTTTTCTTATTTGTAAGTGAGGTGAAGAAACTGCTGAAGGTACTGATATGGGGATATTTGTAACCAGTGTACCAATTACTGGGTCATTTCCTGCTATCCCAGGTCATCCTTAAGTGGCAGCTGTAATACAATCACCCATATTTATGTCTTAAATTCAAAAATATTTCAGGCTCTGTGGAGCAGCCAAAAAAAAATATAAAAATACCATTCTGATTTAGGCACAATATATTATCAAATAGTGACTTTCTTTGTTATTATATGCATATTCTTTCCCAGCTCTCCAGAGCTTATGGCCCTGTGTTCACTCTGTATTTTGGCATGAAGCCCACTGTGGTGTTACATGGATATGAAGCAGTAAAGGAAGCTCTGATTGATATGGGAGAGGACTTTGCTGGAAGAGGCTATTCCCCACTGGTTGAAAGGCTTAATAAAGGAGATGGTAGGTGTAGGTGTGACAGGTGCACCATTGGTTGTGCACCATTGGTTATGGGGTGGGGAGGACAGAAAATGGGGACTTGAAGATGTCAGTATTCTTTGCCCTCTCCCCATAGCTGTCAAGTGTCAGCATCCTCCTCATCCCTTAGGACCCCGTCTCGGTTTATATTTCTAGTTGCCTCCTTAACACAATAGGCAGCACATCAGTCTCATATTTCTCCTATTAGTTGGAATCGTTTTCAGCAATGGAAATATATGGAAGAAGATTCGCCGCTTCTGCCTCATGACCCTGCGGAATTTTGGGATGGGGAAGAGGAGCATTGAGGACCGAGTTCAGGAGGAAGCCCGCTGCCTCGTGGAGGAGTTGAGAAAAACCAATGGTGGGTGATTCTCGATACTGTAGTTGTGACCTTCACATTCTCTAGTGGCATCTTTGGGGATATTCAGGGCTGCCCAAATCTTTCATTAGGGGTACTGGTTGTTAACCCTTATGTGGAGATCGAGAGTTTGAAGCACAAAGTCAGGGAGCTTTTGTATATGTATGCTGTGTGTGTGTGTATATATTCATGATTGTGTGTACAGTGTAGGTAGACAAGGTCGTTTATCTGTTTCTCTCCTGAGGTCTGTTTGTTTTTAAATAAGAAAACAAGAGGTATAGTTTGAGTCATTTTCTAAACGTGTGCGCGAGCAGTGTTTCATATTGTGGCACATTTCAGCCAGGCTGCTAGCCAGGTGTCATGGTGGGAATGAGTAACATGTGTTTTCACTTTATTGGATGTGTTTATATGGTCAGAACTCAGCCCATATGACAGTCACTTCCCCAGCCAGGTCTATAGTTCTGGCCAGTAACAATGCGTCTAGGTTTTAATTGTGTGGGTGTGTCCTCGTGCCTATAATCTCATCAATAAGTATTTCTCTTTTCATCATTTTATTAACTATGAAAGGTACTTTCTCACTTTACAAAGTTCTATGTTCAGGCAACTGCTTCTCCTCCATTTCAATAGGATCATTTTCTAGATACTGATTTTATACCTTTTGATGAGCCATGTTTCCTGCTTCCTTGTATGTTTTGTAATTTTGTGTTGGGACCCACAAGTTTGAAAATAGCCATTGCTATTAGTCTATATGGATTGATTTTGTAATAGGCAATATCCTCAGCATTTTTCTTGTCTTGGGATTCTGGGATCTCTAAAATATTTTTCTTTTGGTGTATGCAACTTCTTTGTGTCTGTGCATATGTTTTCATAATTAGTGAAGCTACTAGTTTGCTAATCAGGTTCTTATAATCTTCTTTTCTCTGTGTTATCTGACTGCAGCACTGTAAGTTCTGATTTCCCACGAATGAAATCATCCAGTATTTATCTTTCTACTTCCTTTGTGTAGCTTAGTTCCCTTTAATTCTATCCATGTTGCAAAATTTCATCGTTTTTTATAGCTGATTTTTTTTAAAGATTTATTTATGTATACAAACTAGGGTACAGGCCAGAGGTGCAAGGGCGATAAAAGGCATCACCAGAGACAGAGTGGGTAGCAGGACAGGCAGATTGATGAAGTACACCGCTGAGGGGAGCAGCAGGTGAGGCAGAGAGGTCTGTCATGCCATGTAGATCATCTCCAGGGCTGGGGATCGAACTTGCACTGAAAGGTCTGCTGTGAGTTGCAGTGCTGCATCCTAACCCGTTGCACCACCAGAGAGGGCCCTGTTGCTGAGTATTATTCCATCATCTTTATTCACTCCTCTGTTGTTGTATACTTATGTTGTTTCTGTATCTTAGCTATTATAAATACTGCTGCAATGAACATAGGAGTGCATATATCCCTTTAAGTTAGTGTTTTTGAATTCTTCAGGTAGATACATAGGAGAGACATTACTGGATCATATGGCAGATCTATTTTTTTAATAGAAACTTCTATACTGTTTTTCATGGAGGCTGTGCTAAGCTCTACATCCCCTGATGTTAATTTTATACATTTTTAATATATTGCTATTGAAGGAATTCGTATGTTAGATAATTGCTTTAAGCTTCTTAAATTACTTTTACCTGTTATCTCAAAATAGTGTTTCTTATATGTGTATCTATATATGTAGTTCACATTTCACAAAGATTTATAAATAGTTGTATATATGCACATATATTTTTTAATTGTGTTTTTAATTGTTTTTTATTTTAGCTTCAGCCTGTGATCCCACTTTTATTCTGGCTTGTGCTCCCTGCAATATTATCTGCTCAGTTATTTTCCAGAATCGTTTTGATTATAAAGATCCAGTTTTTTTAAACATAATGGAAATACTTAATGAAAACATCAAGATTTTGAGCTCTCCATGGATACAGGTAAGGTACAGATCCTTTCTTCAGATGAATCATTTAGGATCTTTTCTCTTAAGAAGTCCAGATCTCTGCATGCACCAAGCTGTGAAGTGAATGCGTGAGAACCACAGTCCTGCTTAGACTTGAGCCTCAGACATGGGAATGATGGCTAGCCATTTAAAGATAGAGAGAAAACATATGCTGAGAATTCAGAAATGAATTCCAATTGACCGCATTTAGTGTTTTTTCACTACACTTAAAAACCTGGATTCCACGTTCCTTAGTAACTTCCTCAAAGCATGTCTGTAGCATGACATGGACTTCCTGGTCCTTGTGGAAAGAATTCCATCACCCAGAACTCTTGTCATCTTCTTAACTCAGTGAAATCTAATTCATAGAAGTGGGCAGAAATATGCAAATTATTAGCAAGAGAATATCGCTATCAAGGCGGAAGAATGGTTTGGATAACAGACACTGGTAGGGAACACTGACTAACAGAGGGGTGGGTGTTTGATACTTAAGGTGGGAACCTAGTTGTGAGGATAATTATTTTGGGGATGATGAATTAACTGGTTTTATAGTAGCTGACCCATAACAAATTTCATAATTTTCCTCTGTGCTGAGCTGATGTGTTCTGCAGTTTGCCTAAAGCATAATGATGTGTCCTGGAGAAGTCACAACTACACTGATGCAGTTCATTAGATGTAAAATGTTGAGGTGTGTTTCATGGTAGATTCAGTACTCTCCCAGTCCTCAATTATTCTGTGTTTGAGGCAACCAGACATATAGAAATAGCCAGGTCTGCTCTGCTTTATATAAGGTTGCGCATCTCTTAATCTCTGTTGTCTGTGAATCATATTTCCAGAATTGATGTAAAAAATGAGAGAATTGATATAAAGGTAATCTTACACTGTCAAATGATGTAGGAGAATAGGAAATCATTATGGTTTGAGTCTCTGGCCAGAATTTTTTCTCTCTTATACATCTATCAGCAAATAAAATTATGTATAAAATAAAAATTTTCCCTGAAGAGAGAGATCATTAACATTTATTTACTTTTTTTTTTTAGATTTATTTATGCATACAAGAGCTGAGGTATAGGCCAGAGGTACAGGGAGGTGAGAGGATTCACCAGAAACAGAGTGGGGGACAGAACAGGCAGATTGACAGAAATACACTGCTAAGGGTAGCAGTGGGTGATACAGGAGAGGTCTGCTGTGCTGTATGAGTTAGCTCCCTGGCCGGGGATTGAACTTGTACTTCAGTAGATACTGATAACATCATAGTTCTATGAGTTAACCCTTTGTACCACAAGGGTGGTCCTGATCATTAACATTTATGGTAATCTCTAACCTAGGCTTGGCATATGGCATAATTCTTCATTAAATATCTTTTTGTTGTAATAAACTCTAATTTTCTCTTTTAGATCTGCAATATGTTCCCTGTTTTCCTTGACCTTTTTCCAGGGAGTCATAACAAATTATTTAAAAATATTGCATATATAAAAAGTTATATTTTGGAGAAAACAATGGAACACAAAGCATCTCTAGATGTTAGTAATCCTCGGGACTTTATTGATTGTTTCCTTATCAAAATGGAACAGGTAAAATGTTAATAACAGTTCTGTTTTTTTTTTTTATTGCTTTCTCATGTTGTGATTCATGGAATTGTTCTTTATTTACCAGGACTATTTCAATGGGCAGTCAATTAATGCCTTCAAGCTCTTTAGTAACTACCATCTACATGTCTCTACACTATGCATTATGGAAGACATAAAATCAATTTTCTAAATAAGTGGAATTCATTGATCTTGTTCTTTAGGTACTAATAATCTACATGAGGAGGGGCAGAGTAACACTTTAGGTGAAATGCATACAGTTACAAACAATTTAGAAAACACAAAATAGCATGTCTTGATATGAAGATGGGCATGAGCTTTGCACACAGTGTATGGGAGAATGAAAGAAATGATTCAACCTAGCTGGACTTCTTGCATGTCTGCTGGTTGGAGATAAATCTTTTTTTATTGTTTTTTTAAGAAGATTTATCTATGGATATGAGAACTGGGGTACAAACCAGAGGTGCAGGGATGAGAGGATTCACCAGAAATAGAATGGGGAGCAGAACAGGCAGATTGACAAGGTACACTGCTGAGGGGAGTAGCAGGTAAGACAGGAGAGGTTTGCCATGCCATGTGGGTCACATGCGGAGCCAGGGATCAAACTCGCACTGAAGCGGCTGTAGCTCACTTGCAGTGCTGCATCCTAACTTGTTGCACCACCAGGGAGGACCCAGCTGTTTATTTTTGAGGTGAAATTTATAGAAGTATTAACAATATGACTTATTTTGGATTAAATATGGTTTTGGCAAATTAATTTGCTAAATATTTTTTTTAAATCATTCCTAGGAAGAGCATATTCAAGAAGAGAAATTAACTTTAGGGACTTTGGCAATTACTGTACTTGATCTCTTTGGAGCGGGGACAGAGACCACAAGCACCACCCTGAGATACGCCCTCCTCCTGCTGCTGAAGCACCCGGAGGTCACAGGTATGACCCATGTGGTGGGTAGGGTGAGTTTCCCAGAAGTTACTAAGAGACACGGCAAGTGCTGCCTTCCCTCCTATTTCTTAGAGAAGCTTCATTATGTAAGTATCTGTCTGACCAGCTTCACTTTTCCAAGTTTAATGAAGAGATAATGCAGGAGGTTGACTAGGAAAAGTGAAGACATCGTGAACAATAGGAAAATGTGGTTTAGGCATTTTATGAGAGCTTGTCTGTGGCAGTATTTATACTAGGAGCCAGATCTATTGGGGAAATCTTTCACTTTTTCAAAATTGAGTATTATATTGGATGTTGATTTGTGACATATGTCCTATACTATTTTTTTTTTTTATTTATGTATACAAGAACTGGGGTATAGGCTACACATGCAGGGGGTAAGAGGATTCACCAGAGACAAAGTGGAAAGCAGAACAGGTAGATGTACTGAAACACACTGCTGGGGAGCAACAGGCAAGACAGGTTGGCTGCATCATGTGGGTTAGCTTCCTGGCAGGCTGGGGGATAGAACTTGTGCTGCAGTGGCTGTCCATAACTTGATAGCACTACTCTTTAACCCCTGAGAGGTCCCTGAGATGGTTTCTGGAGATTACTTCTTTTTTTTTTTTAAAGATTTATTTATTTTTATTCATACAGAACTGGGGTACAGGCCAGAGATGTGGAGGGTGAGAGGCTTCACCAGAAACAGAGTGGGGAGCAGAACAGGCCAACTGAGAAGTACACTGCTGAGGGGAGTAGCGGGCGGGTCAGGAGAGGTCTGCCCCGCCATGTGGATCTCCTCCGGGGCAGGCGGAAATCGAACTCATGCGGAAATCGAACTCATGAGGAAGTGGCTTTAGCTTCTTAGTGCAGTGCTTTAACCTGCTGCGCCACCAGGGAGGGCCGGAGATTACTTCTTTAAGTAAATTTTCTATGCATTTCTGAAATGCAGCCATTGTAAAAAATAGAGAGAATCTTAGAGCATTAGTAGCAAAGAGAGTCAAAGTGATAAAAACAAATGCTGTGCTTTTATAAAACTGACAATTTGAGAGTGTAAAACACTCAAAAACTAGATATTGATAAATATTCTGAGGGTGAGAAGGATGGAGCAGAGAAAGGGACAAGGCAACACAAGCAATGGTGGTAGGGGTAGGGGAATTTAAAAAAGGAAAATGTCACTTTTTTGAATTATAGAAAAATAAAGATATGAATTATATTTTTAAATGAGAATCAATAAGCTAGCCTGTATGCTATACCAAATGTAAATGTTATAAGTAATTACAAAGATAGTTATAATACGGGAACTACGGGGAAATAAACTGATGAACTTCAGTTGTCATGTTGGCTTATTTCTCCAAAAGCAAATAAAAAAATGGTCCTACCTACATAATTATTTCTCCGTAATTGAATGTCATAACATAACACTGAATGTGATTCAGAGGTATAGGATCTCAACTACTCAGATGCTTGTCTTCACACATATATTCTATGATATTTTTGAACATATCATTTCTGTTCATATATCATACATACTAATTAATAGGTACATGTGGATATATTAATCCCAGCATTAGGAGAGGTATATGTATCTACATTATGGTGATTATCTTTGTGTACCTATTTCTTGGTGTATTTTGATGCTAATAATGATAATTGGAGACTGATAAATAAAGCTTCTTGTATCCCCTATCTAATAGGCAGATGACATAGGTATTCTCTTTGCTCATCAGTCTTACTTGTGTTTTGTCAGCTAAGGCCCAGGAGGAGATTGAACGTGTGATTGGCAGACACCGGAGCCCCTGCATGCAGGACAAGAGCCACATGCCCTACATGGACGCCTTGGTGCACGAGGTCCAGAGATACATTGACCTCCTCCCCGTGAACCTGCCCCATGCAGTGACCCGTGACATCAGATTCAGAAACTATCTAATCCCCAAGGTAAAGCAGGTTGTTCCATTGTTGACATCATGATTCTACTCAGAAGTTCCTCTTTTCACACCATAGGTCCAATCCTCCAGACAAGATGAGCAAAACAAAAATAATGTGGCAAGTCGATGGATTTGTGTTGTATCCATTTGACACTACAACGCTTGATAAAAGCACTTTTCTCTCTTTGTTTTTAAAGATTGATTGATTGATTCATACAGAACTGGGGTATAGGCCAGAGGTGCAGGGACAGTGAGAGGCTTCACCAGCAACAGGGTGGGGAGCAGAGCAGGCAAATGGGACAAATACACTGCTGAGGGGAGCAGCGGGAGAGACAAGAGAGGTCTGCTACACCACGTGGGTCACCTCTAGGGCCAGGGATCGAACTCACTCTAAAATGGCTGTAGCCAGCTTCACAGTGCTGCATTTTAACCCATTGTGCCATAAGGGAGGGCCCAATAATAGCACTTTTCTACTTATATTTGTAAGAAGTTTTTGAGAGGTGGTGGTGTGTTTTCCTGATGATCACAGCTTGTTCCAGGGGTTAGGGTCAAATTCAGTTTTCCACCAATATAATGAGAAGACTTCTTTTTTAGTATTGGGGTCAGAGAGTAATAATGAACTCATCTCCTATTTCAAGGTCAGTAACAAAGACACTGAGGTTAAGTAGGATTGTCCATCTTTCCCATCTATTCTTTATGTATAAATAAATAAATCTTAAAAAAAAAAAAAGAAAAGTAGCGGTGGAGTAGTGTTCATGCTTGTAAATGACTTGTTTGGGAAATATTTGAGGAGAGTATCTTTTTTTTCTTTTGTGTCTCTTTTTTTTTTTAATTTATTCATACAGAACTGGGGTACAGGCCAGATATGCGGAGGGTGAGAGGCTTCACCAGAGACAGAGTGGGGTACAAAACAGGCAGATCGACAAAGTACACTGCTGAGGGGAGCAGCGGGCGGGTCAGGAGAGGTCTGCCTCACCATGTGTATCTCCTCCGGGGCAGGCGGAATTGAACTCATGCAGAAGTGGCTTAAGCTTCTTTGTGCTGGGCTTTAACCCACTGTGCCACCAGGGAGGGCCTCTTTTGTCTCTTAAGGAAAGATTTTCATATATAACTTTCAAATAAACGAATAATTTTGCAAAACAAAGATACAGAACTTTTATATGGTAGATGTAGGGCATGGCATTTCACCAAATTTGCATTAAATTAAAAAAAATGTAAACACATTGAAAGCATATGCATGTTAATATGATGGATCAAACCATCACCTCAAACCACCCCAGGTCTTCAGTGTTTATATCCTAATAATGATTTTTAGACAGAAAAGCAGATTTCATAAGTAAACACTACCATTATGCAATAATAGCTTGTACATAGCCTACATAATGTTCTCAGTTTTCCTGGACTATCCTAGAATAGCTTTTCTTTACTTTGCAATACAGTATATCATCAAGGAACAGCTTATGATCTGGTTGTCTTTTCCTTTTAGTTCTCTGTGATCAGTTGCCTTTGCTCAGTTTAGTTCTTGCAGTTAATTCAACCTTGTGAAGAGTCTGGCTTGGTGATAAAGAATATTCCTCAGAGTTAAGTTTTTTTAAGTTTTCTAGAGACAAGATTCCCATTATGATTTTGACCCTAGAAGTGCATATGTGCTCTGTATGTGCCACTGAAACCCAGTGAGGCAGATGAGGGCATATGAGTCATTTACCATTATGGCCACACTGTGTCCCCCAAATAATGTGCTACCTACCAGCTCTCTTCAGCAAAGGTTGTGAATTTTACATTCATTAATCAAAATCTGTGTTGTAGTGCTTTAGGAATTTGTGTATCATGCTGCCTAACCATCAATAGCAGAATCCCTTGAACAATCAATTAGTGATCCTAAGTGAATTGTTGCAAAATATTTCTGATTATCTCATACCTTCCCTGTCTGTGGCCAGGATCAATCTGTGATGAAATCTACCTCATATTTTTTAAATAATACAAATAACCTGCTGAGGCAGTGTTAATAAAAAGTGAAATGTTGTTACTGCACTTATTTTATTATCACATAAGTTACTTTTAATTTGACTGACTGTTTACAAAAAGTCTGTGAATGGATAACTGCAGACATTTCAAGCCTGGATAGTGATTACCATTTGCAAGCATAATGCATATATGAAAAGAGTAAAAACTGAAATGATAAAATCAAGGACCTGAAAGGAAATACCTCAAATCTAAATGTATGGGCAGAATGGCTTCAGAGTTCTGGCATGAAGGGTCCTGGTACTCACTAGTTCACATGCCACTTAGCTGTATCACTGCCACTGGTCTTAAGCTCCTTTTTGTATATTACTTATTCTGTCTGCCTTACCATGCCCTGTTCCTTCACAGTCTAGGTTCTACTTTCATCTTTAGATGCTAAGGCTGGACAAAATGATTTGTAATTTTTCATGCAGCTGCATGACTTCATGACACAGTTTGAATCTTGTTCTTTCAGGGCACGACCATATTGACATCACTAACTTCTGTGCTACATGATAGCAAAGAATTCTCCAACCCAGAGGTGTTTGACCCTGGCCACTTCCTGGACGAGAATGGCAACTTTAAGAAGAGTGACTACTTCATGGCATTTTCAGCAGGTAGTGTAGCTCTTTTATATTCTTTGTGCATCAGAGGACAAGTTAGGAACTTAACAAAGCCCCTGCTGGTGCAGTTGCTAATTGTTAACAGGAAAACAGATCCCTGAGTCCAAGCACTTTCCCTCTTAATGATACAGTCATCTTGTTTGCCAGAGCATGGCAGCTCTTGGGAATTGATCAATATCTTCCAAATTCACATGATTTACAACCAGATACTGAAAATATAAGAGTAGTTGATCTTGTGCAGAGGAACAGCACTTTAATATAAAATCTGAAATTTCATGGAGTGTTGGAGAGTGATAAAGAGCAGGAGTGAATAACTGGGACTGTGAAGAATAAGGTCATGAACCACCAGATCCATGTAGCAGAAAGTATGAACAAAGTATGTGTTTCTTAAAAAATATTAATAAAAAATTGAGATGTCAAACAAGTAGTTTTATTTTTTAATTTTTTAAATTTACATATATATATTTTAAATAATATGTTTATTTTTACATCATTTTGTGCCTTTTTCCTTCTCAGTTGTAAGCTCTATGGGCTTCCCATCACAAAGTCATCCATGTGCCATGACCATGGTCCACTGCACTTCCCTCCCTCCACCGTTTTTGATCCCATTCCACCCACTGTAAAATGTCTCTGGTATATAATTGTTCCTTATTATTACTATTTTCTTGCCTGGTCCTTTATACTCCTGCTATGAGAGAAACCATCTGGTATTTTTCCTTTTCTTTCTGGTTTATCTCACTAAACGTGATCTTTTCCAGCTCCATCCATGTTGCTACAAAAGGCAAGTGTTTATTTGTTTTGGTTGCTGAGTAATATTCCATTGTGTATATGTACCACGTCTTTTTAATCCAGTCATCTACTTTTGGGCATTTGGGTTGTTTCCATGTCTTTCCAATTGTAAATAAAGCAGCAATAAACATGGGGGTGTAGGTGCCTTTTTGAATCAGTTTTTTTGTGCGTTTTGGGTAGATACCTAGGAGTGAGTTTGCTGGGTCATATGGAATCTCCATTTTTAGCAGTTTGAGAAACGTCCAAACAGTTTTCCATAGTGGTTGTACTAGTTTGCATTCCCACCAGCAGTGCAGGAGAGTTGCTTTTTCTCTACATCCTCACCAATATTTGTTGTTGCTAATTGTTTTAAGATGTGCCATTCTCACTGGTGTGAGGTGGTATCTCATTGTGGATTTAATTTGCATCTCCCTTATTACAAATGATATTGAACATTTTTTTCATATGCTTGTTGGCCATCTGCATTTCTTCTTTGGAGAAGTGTCTTTTTAGCTTTTCTGCCCATTTTCTGATGGAGTTGTTTATTTTTGTTGAGTTTCATCAGTTCTTTCAAACAAGTGGTTTTAATATAAGAATACTTGAAGTGTTTGGGACAGTGCTGATAATATGTAAAAATTTGTTGAAAGGAAGATATCCATTAAGTTAACATAGATGGGCTGCATTCCTTTAATCTATCCATTTATCTATCCAATCATCCTCCTACATCATACCTCAGCTTTTTGTTAAATATTTATTTTATATTCTCTTTCTGATGCGAGAACACAGTGTTCAAGGATCATCTCCTCTGTGTATTTGTTATTTTCAGGAAAACGGGCATGTGCAGGAGAGGGCCTGGCCCGCATGGAGCTGTTTTTATTCCTCACCACCATCTTACAGAAGTTTACCTTGAAGTCTGTGGTTGACCCCAAGGACATTGACACCACCCCAGTGGTCAATGGATTTGTTTCTGTGCCTCCTCCTTACCAGCTCTGCTTCATTCCTTTGTGAGGAAGGACAAATCATCAGGTTCTGCTGTGAGGTCCACAACTCACAGGAGGTCCACAACTCTTTACTTGTTGCCCCCTTCATCTTTTCCTCCTTCCCTTCCTGGGAATGTCATCTCCAATCTCTCCTCTTCTCGTCACTCCATTCTGTCAGGATCCAGGCAGGAACATCCCATCTCCACTAAACGAGGATTTCCAGAGTCACTGCACAAATATATATAGCTGTTCTCCTTCCTATAACACTTCATTGGCGTCTCATATTAATACTTATCTAGTATTGAGTAGCTAGTTCAGTGTCATCGATGTGACAGTGAGGTGATTAGCGTATATAACACAGATGTTTCTCCTCTGCATGTTTTCAATAAAACTCACAATCTGATGAACCAGGTCTCATGCTTTCATTCCTTTGTGTAGAATGCATGTAACAAATGAAAGAAAATGTTATAAAAGAGACCATTCAGAGAAAGGGACAAAAGGCATAAGGACAGACCAGCATGTTACCTGGAATTACTTGGGGTTTGGATTTGCGCTTGAGAGAATTTGTGTTGGGGAGCAGCTTTACCTTGAAGAAAAATATGACATCAGTGATTCAAATGTATCTATTGCTGCTGCATTCTAGAAGAGGAAAAAATAATATGTGGTGCTAGAATTCAGAGCAATGTTAATTCTGAGATTGGTGAGTGAGTAGGAGATCTAGGGCACTTGTCAGGGAACTGGGAATTTTCTTGCTGTGATATGGTTACACATTTGTAATCAATGGATCACAGCAGGAGTTGAGATTCCTGATGGTGGTAGAGGTGCATGTGGATGGGGAGGGGGTAATATGTGGGAACATGTACTTAATGTTTAGTTTTGTTGTGAACCTAAAGCTTTAAAAAAAAGAATCTAGTAAGAAAACCCCTCTAGAGGAGGAGGGAGAAGTACCAGGACAGGAATGGGAAGAGCACAAGGGAGTACAGTTATGGTGCATGGGTGAATTGGTGGAGGAAATTTCACAGGGAAACCATACATTGTACAAAAATGAAGGATGATATAATTAATATATTTTTAAAAAATAACCCAATATCATAAGTCTAGCCAAGGTGAGATTTGCATTACTCTATGACAGCAGAAGGCTTAATGCCCTTGGTTATTGGATGGGTATGGACGACTTTGGTATGAACAGGGAGGGAAATTTGAGGTTAATATAAAATATCTTTGGAGGATGGAATAGATAATATATATATGTATGTGTGTATGTGTATATATATATTTATATATAATTTGTTTATATATATATTTTACATCACTGTTGATTTTTGTACAATATTTTCTCTCCTTGTAGTCCCCATAGAATTCTACCACAAATTCACCCATGCAGTCTCTATAGTCCCTTGTGCTCCTCTCTCCCTTGTTTTGAATCCTCTGCCTTCCTCCCCTGCGATTTTATGGTTTATAGTTGTTTATGAAATTTTAAAAATTTATAATATTTTTCCTATCCATTATTTGGTTCCCCTATATTCTTCCTATACTTGAAACCACCAGTATTTTTCTTTTTCATCCTTTCCTTCTTTCCTTTAACTGAGCATAATCCCATCTGTGTTGCTAAATAGTACTCTGTTGTGTATGTATGCATGTCCTCGTGAACTAATCTATTTTTGGCGATTTGTATTGTTCCATATCCTACCTATTATAAATAGTGGGTCAATAAACATAGAGGTGCAGGTATCCTTCTGAATTAATACTTTTGTGTCATTTGGATAGATTCTTAGGCGTAGAATGCTGGGTCATATGGTAGCTCCATTTTTAATAGTTTGAGGAAACTCCAGACGGCTTTCCATATTTATTGGACCAGTTTGCATTCCCACCAGCAGTGTTCCTTTTTCTCCACATCCTTTCCAATATTTGTTGTTTCCTGTTTTAATTTATATATGTGTGTGAGTGTGTGTGCCACTCTCACTGGTGTAAGGTGGTACCTCGTTTTGGCTTTGATTGGCATTTCCCTTTTTATAAGAAATGTTGAACACTTTTTTCATATACTTGGCCATTTGCTTTTCCTCATTGGAGAGGTGTCTTTAACTTTTCTGCCCATTGTTTGACTGGATTGTTTACTTTGTTTTTGTTGAGTCATGTGAGTTCTTTATATATTTTTGTGATCAGTCCCTTATCTATTGTATTGTGTACAAAAATTTTCTCCCAATTAGCAGGCTGTCTCTTTTTGGTTAATGTCTCTTTTTCTGTACAAAGCTTTTTTGATATAATCCCTTTTATCTTTTACTTTCTTTTTGGGGGGGTTATGAGCCTTTTAAAGATGTTATTGAGATGTAATCATTTAGTATTTTACCTATATTTTTGTCTATATTTTATGGTTTCAGGTTTTATGTTCAATTCTTTTACCTTTTGAGTTTATTTTTGTGTACGGTATGAGGTAGTGGTCTAGTTTCTTTTCTTTTTTTTTTGCATGTGATGGTCCAGTTTTCCCAGCACCATTTATTGAACAAAACTGTCCTTGTTCCACTGCATGTTCTTTGCTACTTTGCCAAAGATTAACTGTTCACATATATGTGTGTGGCTTTATTTCTGCCCTTTCTATTTTGTTCCATTGGTCTGCATGTCTGTTTTTGTTCTAGTATCATAGTTTTAATTAATATGGCTTTGTACTATACTTTGAAGTCTAGGCCTGTGATAGCTCACTTCTTTTTAGGAGAGCCTTGGCTAGTCAATGCTTTTTGTGATTTCATATGAATTTCATCCAATATTTGTTCTATTTTTTTGAAGAATGTCATTGAGATTTTTATCTGCATTGCACTGAATCTGTAAATTGCTTTCAGTAGGATGGCCATTATAGTCTTCTTATCTTCTTTTTTATTTATTTTTACATCATTCCTCATTTTGTGCAATGTTTCATCTCCATTGTAATTCCTGTGCATTTCCCACCACCAATTCACCCATGTGCCATCACCGTAGTCCCATGTACTCTTCCCAATCCAGTTTTGATCCTGTTCTTCTCTCCACTCCCATATAATGTCCCTGATTTATAGCTATTTTTTATTGTATTAAAATTGCTTTTTTTTTTCTGACCCCTTATGCTCCTGCTATGAGTGAAACCATCCAGTATGTTTCTTTTTCTTTCTGGTTTATTTCACTAAACATGATCCCTTCTAGCTCCACCCATGTTGTTGCAAAAGGCATGAGTCTTCTATCTTTTTTGATTGCTGATTAATATACAATTGTGTATATGTACCATATCTTCTTGATTCAGTCATCTATTTATGGGCATTTTGTTGATTTTACATCTTCCTTATTGTAAATAGAGCAGCTATAAACACGGTTGCAAGTGTCCTTTTGAATTAATGTTTTTGTGTCCTTTGGCTAGATACCTAGGAGTGGAGTTGCTGGGTCATATGGAAGCTCCATTTTTAGCAGTTTGAGAAGCCTCCAAACAGTTTTCCATAGTAGTTGGACCAGTTTACATTTCCACCAGCAGTGTAGGAAAATTCCTTTTTCTCCACATTTTCACCAACACTTGTGGTTGCTAGTTGTTTTAATATATGCCATTCTCACTGGTGTGAGATGGTATCTCATTGTAGTTTTGATTTGCATTTCTGTTATTACAATTGATGCTGAACATTGTTTTCATATGCCTGCTGGCCAGTCTGCATTTCCTCTTTGGAGATGTGTCTATTCATCTCTTCTGACCATTTTTTGATGGGGTTTGCTTTTTGGGGGGTTGAATTTCAAAAATTTTGAGAATTTTGTGTGCAAAAATTGTCTCCCAATAAGTGGGGTATCTCTTTGCTATACAGAAATGTCTGTATAGCAGACATTTGTCTGCTATAATGTCTCTTTTGCTATACAGAAGCTCTTTATCTTGATGTAGTCCCAGCTGTTTATCATTTCCTTCCCTATCCTTGCTTTGGGTGATGTATCTTTTTAAAGGGATTACTGAGGTGTACATCATGTAATGTTTCACCAACATTTTCTGCAAGATAATTTATGGTTTCAGGTCTTATGTCTAGTTCTTAAATCCATTTCAAGTTCGTTTTTGTGCATAGTGCAAGGTAGTAATCTGGCTTCATTTTTGCACATAGCAGCCCAGTTTTCCCAGAACTATCTGTTGAAGTCTTCTATTTCTTTTAACAATGCTTTATAATGTTTGTATAGGTCCTCCTTGGTTAAGTTTATTCCCAGGTATTTGATTTGTTTGCTTTCAATTGTAAATTGGATGGTTTTCTATATCTCTTTTTCTTGATTGATTGATTGCATATAGTGAGGCTGCTGATTTTAGTGAGGTGTGTTGATTTTGTTTCCTGCTACTTTATTAAACTGGTTAATTGTTTTTTTTTTAAGATTTATTTATTTGTACATACAGAAGTGGGGTACAGGCCAGAGACTCAGGGGCGGTGAGAGGCTTCACCAGAGACAGAGTGGGGAGCAGAACAGGCAGATCGACGAAGTACACTGCTGAGGGGAGCAGCGGGCGGGTCAGGAGAGGTCTGCCACGCCATGTGGTCACCTCCGGGGCAGGCGGGAATCGAACTCATGCGGAAGTGGCTTTAGTTTCTCAGTGCAGTGCTTTAACCCGCTGCGCCACCAGGGAGGGTCAAACTGGTTAATTATTTTGATTAGTTTTTCTGTGGAGTTTTTAGGGTTCTCTATATTATCACATTATCTGTAAATACAGTTTTATTGTTCTTTCCCCATTTGAATTCCTTGTATGTTTTTCTTTTGCTTATTGCTCTGGTTAGTACTTCCAGAATTATATTGAAAAACAATGGTAAGAGTGGACACTCTTCTCTTGTTCCTGGTCTTAAAGGAGAGGCTTATAGCTTTTCACAATTGAGAATAATATAGGCTTTTCCATGGTAAGGTATGTTCCTTCTATCCAAAAATGTTGAGGGCCTTCATCATAAATGGATGTTGAACTTTGTCAAACGCTTTCTCACATCTGTTGATGTAATAAAGTTTTTATTTTTCATCAACTTTACATTAATTTTCATCAACTTTACATTAATTGATTTTCAGGTGTTATAATATCTTTGTGTCCCTGGAGTAAATCCCACTTTGTCGTGGTGTATTATCCTTTTGATACATGGTTAGAGTCAGGTGCATAGAATTTTATTGAAGATTTTTGCATCAGTGTTCATTTGGGAAATAGGCCTGTAGTTTTCTTTTTGTGTGTTTTGTCTTTGTTGGTTTTTTTATATTAATGTAGTGTTGGCTTCATAAATGTATTTGTTAGTATTCCTTCTTTCTCAATTTAATGAAAGACTGTAGGATAGGCACATTCAGAATGTTCATTTCTGAATGTCTGGTAGAATTCATTTGTGAAGCTGTCTGGTTCTAGACTTTTGGTTTTGGTAGAATTTTTTACAGTTTCAATAGCACTGCTTGGAATTGGT